GTCGATATTTTTGGGAGTATCCTGATGACTATAATCATTTATTATATGATATTTTGACCTTCTAATAGAAATGTGCTTAAACACGTCTGTCAGTGTGTTAATTGAAGTATTCATTATACAAATGCGAAAGGAAGGATCAGCAAATGTGCACATATATCACTTTTAGACCCTTGTTTGAAAGATTACAACTGAATTTAATAGACCAGCTTTTAAATTTTCCATCATTTCAAAACAACATTCACAATATTAGCCACCTTATTGCCCTCTTCTATTCATGTCACAATATGTATACAGATAATAATAACATTATATTTATCAATTCTTTTTATTTGGTTGTTCTGATATACAGGAAAGATCAGTTTTCCAGCCATCCAGGCCGCCCCCTCCTTCAGTAACTCCTTCCCACACATTTTTGGGGAGAGAAAAGATATCCAGTGTCTTATCCCTTGTGCCATTGACCAGGTAGGTACAGATCACTATAAATAATAATATACCAAACTTCTAATAAAAACACCTATAATAACTAATCCTCCAGGACCCGTACTTCAGAATGACCAGAGACGTGGCTCCAAGGATCGGGTATCCCAAACCAGCCCTGCTCCATTCCACGTTCTTCCCAGCTCTCCAGGGCGCACAGACCAAAATGAGCGCAAGTGACGTCAACTCCTCCATCTTCCTCACAGACTCGCCCAAACAGATCAAGAACAAGGTGATCTAAAACAAAATAACTATATACAAAATACATATACATACAGAAAAATTACATACAAAATAACATAACTATAAACACTACCGGTTAAAAGTTTTAGAACACCTAATTTTTCTAGTTATTTACTGCAAGTCAAGTCGTGCAAGTCCAATGAAGAGCTTGAAATGGTACAAAGATAAGAACTGAACAGCCAGAGGTTAACAGAAAGATAAAAGAACAAAACACAAGTTTAAGCTCAGCCAAAGCTATCTCAGGAAAAAAGAACAAGCCGGTAAACTTGAAAACATGGAGTGTCCAGCACAGTCTCCAGACTTAAACCCCGTCGAGCTGGTTTTGGGATGAACTGGACCGAAAAGTGAAAGCCAAGAAACCTACAAGTGCCACTCATTTATGGGAATATCTGCAACAGACTTGAGAAGAACTTTCTGAAGAATATTTGATTTCTATTGTAAAAAGAATGCCATGAGTGTGTTCAGCTGTTGTATCTGCCAAAGGGGGGCACTTTCATGAATCAAAAGTTTAGAATACATTTTGGTCAACAGTAAAGAGTAAAAAAACTGGAAAAAGTGTGGTGTTCCAAAACTTTTGACCGGCAGTGTACATAATACATACACGTACAGGAAAAATTACATACAAAATAACATAAATACATACATACTGAAAAAGGACGTACATAATAACAAAACTATATTCATACATAATACATGAACATGCAAAAAAGGCAGAATGTTTTTGAGACTTGGCAATAATGTCCATTGGCTACATACAAAAGTTGATGGTTCCGCGGCAGCTACATGGCAAGACAATTCTGACTTTTGGTGAAGAGTCACCACCTGTTTTTCTCCATAGGAATATTATTGTTTGGCTTAGAACAGAGGTCATCAAACTAAGGCCAGCGGCTGACCCCGGCTCCCCAGCCCGTCTGCCCCCCACCACTTGAACTGGCCCTATGAGGCAATCCTCAGAAGTTGTCACGGCCTATTTTTTTTAATTACTTTTTGGCAAATAATGACACATCTGCATCTTGTATTTTATAGATTTTTTTTTTTTTTCAATTAAAAAATTGTATTTATATGAAGTAGTTACATTTAAATAATTATATGACGTATTTAGATAGTCAACACACACACAAAGTACTGTAGTGCAATTAAAGACAGCAAAATGTCAAGTGTTAAAGTACGACCAATTATTTTTTTTGTTCAGTGTAAGGACCATGCAGTTTGTCTGATATGTAAATAAAGTGTGGCTGTGTTCAGAGAATATAATCTGCGTCATCAGGATCATACAATTCTATTATACAGGCTACCTAACCCTGGCCCCCATCACAGTCACGAGCGATAATGTGGCCCCCAGAGAAAAAAGTTTGGTGACCCTTGGCCTAGAATATTCTATAGCATGACATTAAACAAAGTTACAGGGTTAGATCAGTGATTCCAATTACAGTAACAATGCATGTTTGTTTTGTTTGTGTTTTTTTTTTTTTCAATAATAAAACACCTCTCATGCTGTGGAACAATACAGACAAAGTAGTAACATCTCCATGGATACACACAAATGTTACTCAGTCCACTTCTTTTTAAAGTAAATGCATTATATCTGCTTCATTTGATCCCATTGCTTGTGTAAGCAATAGGCTGATGGTGTATTTAATAACCCATTCACTTATCATGAACACTATCACATTTTATACAAGTCTTGTAGATAGTTGTGCTTTTACTCCATAAATAAATATTCTCTCAAATATTTGACACAGATAAATAAGCATGCGTTTTCTGGAGGCAAAGACACAGTGGAGGAGCACAGACAGTTTGGAGGTAACGCGGAGGTGGACGTCTCCTTCATGTACCTCACTTTCTTCCTGGAGGATGATGAGCAGCTCGAGAAGATCCGACAGGTGAGCTACTGGTCCTTGTACAAAGTAGAATTAATTTTAGCTCAATTAAGTTGAAAATGGAAATGTTTGTCGCAGTATTCCCTTATTATTTAATTTTTCAACTTGGAAAAAGTCACTTCAGAGCGCTATCGCAACAATCAGCAAGGAATTAAACTACTGCACATTCCATCAGGTTTATCAGGTTGTTGTGTACAGTTTTGTATCATAATATATATGTATATTTTTGGAGAATTGTGGATGGTGTAGGCTTCTGGGCAGAGCATTGCAGAAAACATTGCAGTTAGCCATAATCAGGGTTTAAACAGGGCCCAGGAGAGATCACTAAATTACTCAAACATGCATGGATGACATCTAAAACCGCATCACGCATGTTTTTGATGAGGAAACAACATTATAACATGGTATAAAGCTGAAAAATCGATTTTGCATTATACCCTCTTTTTAAAAAGCAAAAAATCTGAAATAAAGTCAAAGCCAAAGACATGATTATAGAATGTAGACATATTATGGGAATAATTGCTGGCCGTTTTGATACTAAAAGTACTTTGGAAAATAAAGTAGTCTAAATAAATTGTGTTTAGCTGTTGAATCGAGTAAGCCCACATTGATTAACATCACATGAGCATTTCCATTCTCAACTTGAAAAAGCAGAAATGAATAATGAATGAATAATACTTTGTACACAAACTGTTACTCATATTACAAATGTTACCAAATTGCTCCCATTTTGATGTACAAATGTTTTTATTGGTTCAGGATTACACAAGTGGAGCTTTGCTAACAGGGGAGCTGAAGAAGATCCTAATTGAGACACTTCAGCCAATGATCGCCACACATCAAGAACGACGTAAACAAGTCACAGAGGAGCTGGTCAAACAGTTCATGACACCTAGGCCTTTAAATTTTAACTTTTAAAAAAGATTGGCACCATATGAACATTAAAGTGGACGTTTTATTCAAGGCATCAATGCAAACTATTTCATTTTGACAAATTAAAGATAGGAGTACAATAGAATAAAATTGTGCACGTGGAATTGCCCTTCTTCATCATGAATGTTACGTATCACTTAGCCATATTTCTTTATGTGCTTTATAGAAACATGTTGTTAAAGGTCTTACTTCAGCCTGAATACAAGTGTAACGTGACACAGTACAATTTAACAGAATATGTAAACTGGAGCTCATAGACGATGGCTACGCATGAGAGTTACCCATTATGTGAAATATGTCAAAGACTGGAGACTGCCCATTCTTTCACATATTTGAGTTTAATGTACAAAATGTGCTATTAAAAGTCCAACTTCAGTATGACTACATGTTTACAGTGGTTTGTGCCCCTGTCTTCTGTCAGGAAGATGTGGTTAAGGATTTGCTCTGGGTTCTGCACTGACTGTAAAATGGCTGTTGTCAATGTGTTTCGTGGTGTGTGTGTATCTCATATCATTGGCCGACGGTGTAGTGTGAATTTGTAGGTCTATATTTAATAATTAGTCTCTGGTGAAGGCTACTTATAAATTCAGTGCTGAAGGGAGAATGACAGTGCTTCTTGGTTAAGTGACTTCACAGAGCTGTTAAACTTACATTAATGTTCTACGAGAAAACTGGTTGAAAGGCAAAATGGGTCAGTTTTAAACACTGAACAAATTTACCTTGTGCTGTAAGCGGTGTTGCTGCAAGATCTGAGTTTTCTCAGTTTACAGAACCCTTATAAGCACTGTTCATACGGCTTTTGCCAAGTTATGCACAAATAGTCCTACATGATGGGTATTAGACATTTTTGACATACAACTTAATGTTTACATTATTTCCCTGGAGGTCATAATCTTTTCTCCCATTCACATACTCCAAACTTTTTTTTTTTTTTCAACATATTTTACCACATTATCTGAGGAGTTAAAAGCCAAGTCATTAAAAGAGTAATTATTTGCTCATAGCCACAGGCCTGTATTGCAATAGTCTGTGGTTAGATTTAATTGAAATAATATTGCTAATGTCTTGTCTGCAGTAACACCTTTAGAAAACCTAAATCATGCAGTTTTTCTTTCTTTTTTTTTATATATATAGAACTTTGTTTTTTATTAGTTTTAGGTAACATTTCATATAAAAAAAAAAAAAAACAACAATATAAAACAATGTAACAACAGTGTGGAGTTACAGGTTCTTATTTTAACATGCATTTGTTAATGACCTTTTAATGTACTGTGTTGTTTTGCTGGTGTCATTTCTGAATGCAATTTTCCCATTGCTCAGTTGCTCATCGTATTAAGATTGTATGTTATTCTTTCCATTACTTTCATTTCCATTGTCAAATGCAAGTCATCCTTCCTTACTACATTTGATATATTTTCCAGACACGCCACAAGACAAGTGTTTGGAATTCCATAACCCACAATACTAGTTAAAGTGGCGTTTAATTGATCCATCTGAACTCTGAGCAGGCTGCGCCCAAAGCTGCACCTTTGGGCTCCTATCCCAGTGTTATATTATACATAGTGTTAAAATGTATTAAATAAGCATGTCTTTACTTGAACTCTTCCAACAACAGATCAACCTCTACAGATGACGAAGAGCACGATAAGAGTGTTGATTTTGCCGGTGGTGAGGAAAGCTGTGTGTCCGGGACAGCCAATCGCTGCGTGGGGCGGACCGCAGCCCCGGGGGGAGTTGTCTTGTGGATCCTCACGCGATTGGACTTTCTTAAAAAGGACTGACGCGCTGGGCTTTTTTCTCTGCCACACTCACGTCTGTACAGAAATAGCAGGGCTTGGCGCTCAGACAGGAGCTGTGGTGGAAGTGAGGACACATCAGCACAGTGCCACAACGAGGAAACGCGCAGCCCGTGCACTCCTCCACACTCTGTTTATCCTACAGATCAGATTTATCTACCAGAGCCTAATCAAAGGAGCAAAAGAGTGACTCGTGAACAGCGACTGATCCCTCTCAAGTTCGCCCGACCTCCGTTTTTAGGCAGAGTTTGACTGGAATGGCATTGGACTTCGCCGCGGGCTGCTTGGGAGGTGAGGAGTCTACACCGGACTCAAGTAGCATTAGCATTAATTAGCATTAGCAATCTTTCCTCAGACATTCTTCATTGACTTCTGCAGATGTTACCAAATAAAACAGCCGTGTCTCAAAGTGGAGTAAAACCAAAACACAGATTTTTCAGTCAGATGTTTAGAGATGTGTTAATGGGGTAAGAAGCTGCATTCCACACAGGGAGTGGTGCCTGGGAGAAGTTTTGGCGTGTGGCCATTCATTCATCCACGACACAGTTCTGCATCACCTGTGTCTGAAAAATGATGTGTTTACATGATCGTATGCTTCTGATCTTTAGTCTACTGTATATCTGACATCAGGCCTGTCCTGTACATTTTGATGACTGTGGTCTTGTTGGACACCCCCCACTTCAAATGTTTGGGAAAGTTGTCACATGTTTAGTGTTTGCACAAGAAGTGCGCCAAGGTCCTCTTATAGACACACACAGTTTATTTAGTTTAGTTTATTTTGTTCGTCCTTTTAAAATCAAATTAACTTTATAACTGTTACTTTGATCCAATCACTAATCTCTAATCTATAGTGTATACTTCATCGTAAATTGGCAAAGTATTGTGTATGTACACTAAATAGGTCCGTGTTGATGGGTAATGAAGGTATCATATAATCCAAAGAATAAGCTTCAGAAGTATTATGATATGGTATTGAAAATGTTTATTTATATTATTTAGAATGGGCTAAGCAATTCAATTGGGGCAGAGAAAGCCAGTATGCTTTTCTAGTATAGCCCTTTGTTTTATCTCTGTGTATGTGACCTGGTGGCTTGTTGCAGGTGCTGCTGGTGTGTTGGTGGGACATCCATTTGACACTGTGAAGGTGGGTGTTGGAGTCCTCTGTCCTGCTCATTTCATGTACACACTTGTAGATTTGTGGTCAGACTGGTGTTGGCTGCGTGGGAGTGGTTCCACATAAGCCTAAGGTACACACATATGACAAAATAAAAAAATGTATATATTGGCAAACTGAACTGTAGATGTATGAAGTAAATTTAGCTTATCATAGAATTTAGGGATGCACCAATCCATGTTTTTTAGTTCCGATACTATGGCCTTGGGTATCTGCTGATACCCACTAACGACCAATACCAGAGAAGAGACAGAAAAACAAAAATAAATGACCAAACTGATCCAAATGTGTTGTGTTGCTGTTATGCATCTCTCAAGCAACAACAGAACAACAGTGTATAAACAAATGTTCAAACATGAGACTTTCTGGGCCGACTACAGACTAAAGTCTTACTACATCAGTTTATATGTCTGACCAGGGTATCAGCTGAACTGATATTTGGAAATCGATATCCAATGCAGCAAAATTTTCAGTATCGCCACAGATATCTGATACCAGTATTGGATCAGTGCATCCCTAAGAGAATTACACACGCATTTGATATCCGAGAAAGATTCTGAATGTGAAAATGTATGGAGGCTCAAAGTAATATCGAGCTTATCCAAACATTACAACAGTGACACACTGAAGCACTGCTTACAAAAAGCTGCTGCTCATGTTTTCACTACACGAGTACATTCTTGTGAATGCACTCTCTGACCTTACACATGCTATAGGCTCTGGCCATGGAAACCTTGTGTGACAGTACGCTCCTTGCAAAATTACTTTGAGTTTTGAATCTTTCTCTCTATGGACAAATAAGGAATTTCCCATCAAACACACAATGTTACTTGAGTTGATGTTCACACTGTTTCACACTGTAGATAAATAAGGCTTACATCGTGTTTTCAGAGGGCAGGAAAGCTGGATAAAGGAATGTTGTGTACAATGCTTTCAATGTGATTTCTTCCTGAGTGGGTGTGTGCTGTGGGCCTGGGGGAGGCTGTTTTAACAGTGCCAGTGTCACTGTGTTGTAGATGAGAGAGAGATATAAACGCGCTCTCCACGGAAATAGAACCTAGTAAGTACGGTCAAGGTCTTCTTTCTCTCCCCTGTCTCCCCCCACTGTGAACTGTTAATTACCAATGACTTTTGTCCCTTTTTGAATGTATCCTCTCCCTTCAAAGAAACCTTCATAGCTTTACTACATGAGCTGTCCTTTGAATCCCTCCATCTTCCAATACACTCTGCTTTTGTTCTTAGGTGCGACTTCAAGTTCAGAATGTGGACAAACCTCTTTACCGTGGGACATACCACTGTTTCCAGTCCATTATACGTCAGGAATCGGTAAGATGTGCATTGTCTATAGTGATATTCAATTTCATCTTGTTGCCCCCATTTATTATGCCAAAAGTTAACATGTAAAACCTCCAATTTAAATCCAGCTGCATTAAAGCTACCATCCCCTATAACCTCACCTGGCCTTTGTTCAGGCACACCTGTGCTCTCTGGTCTTTTTCTGTCAGACCAAAGCTGGCTCACTATCAGACTGCAGCAACATAGATGGCATCTAGTGGTGATATGTGAGAATGCAACATGGCTAGGTTGACCAGTCTAATTACGGACGGTAGCTTTAAATTTAATGAAATGGTTCCAGTTTCTACCTGGGCAGTCTGCAGTGTGCACTCACCATGTGCAGTCAAGGCCATAATGGAGTAGAGAGTGTCGAGCAGGGCATGTGCCTACAGTGTGCCAGCTCCTGAGATGGGGCAGGGCTGTGGTGATGAGAAGGGGGTGGTTTTTGGTGAGGTCAGCCAGGATGTCTGGCCTAATTTAAGCATGTGCCATTTGAGTAAGCGGCCTAAGCTTGGTCTCAATACATTTGTCCTCTCTTCCACTGTGCTGCTGCAAGTGTGAGTAGTACATTTAGGTTGTATCATGTCAAATGTACAGTCTTAACTCTTTCTCAGAAAGACTGTGTAATCATGATAAATCTGATTTTTATTTAAGTGTATTTTCATTATTGCTATAGCAGAGCAATAGAACAATATCTCAGCCTCAGATTTCCCTTTTAGGTTATGTATATGAAACTGTCTGTTTTGATTGTGAAGGTGGTTACTTGGTTTGATTGAACAGAATGTGCAGAGTCAGCCCAGAGGAAGTAAAACTGGGCTCCATGTGGATGTGTGGGTCAGCCACGCACTCTGCAGGGGGAATAAAACTGCTGTGGTCATGGGGGCTTTTTATTGCATCAGATCAGGTTAAAAAAGTGACTGAGGAGTGCACCTCTGTATCAGCACCTGTCAACTTTGTTTTCAAGGGCATCAAGCTACACTCTTGGGGATAATACTTAAAATAAAACAAAATACAAAAGATGATCTCTGTAACCTGTGTTGTAGGCTCTGGGACTGTACAAAGGCCTGGGCTCTCCCCTGATGGGCCTAACCTTCATCAATGCCATAGTGTTTGGGGTGCAGGGGAACGCCATGAGGAAGCTGGGCCGGGACACCCCTCTGAACCAGTTTCTGGCTGGAGCGTCTGCTGGGGCAATTCAGTGTGTCATCTGCTGCCCCATGGAACTGGCCAAGACACGTATGCAGATGCAGGGCACAGGGGAGAAGAAGTCCACGAGGAAGCTGTACAAGAATTCTTTGGACTGTCTGGTGAGGATTTACAGGAAGGAGGGGCTGCGCGGCATTAACCGGGGAATGGTGACCACTCTGCTCAGAGAGACACCTGGTTTTGGGGTCTACTTCCTGACCTATGATGTGCTGACGCGACATTTGGGCTGTGAGCCTGAGGACTCCTACATGATTCCCAAGCTGCTGTTTGCTGGTGGGATGTCTGGAATTGCCTCCTGGATCTCCACCTATCCTGTGGATGTGATTAAGTCCCGCCTCCAAGCAGATGGAGTGGGAGGGGTTAATAAATACAGTGGCATTATAGACTGTGTTCGGCAGAGCCTTCAAAAGGAGGGCTGGAGGGTGTTCACTCGTGGGCTCACCTCCACACTACTCCGAGCCTTCCCTGTTAATGCCACGACCTTTGCTACAGTGACTCTGTTCCTCATGTATATGAGAGAGGGAGAAGAGTGCCCCATCCAGGCCTCAGAGCCCCCTAGTGTCCCTTTGCAGTCACTGCAGCCTCAGTCCCAGCCCAGCAGTATGTAAGTCTGCACCTATTTGCTATTCAAAGTGATCCTAGCTTTTTAAGTAATACTCTATTTTAAGAAGACTATACAATATATGTAAATATTGTCAGTTTTGTACAAATGGTGATGTCAATATTTTCCTTTTATTTTGGTGTTTTATAATGGTTTGTTACATAAAGCAGAGTGGTAAAACTTTTAGGTCAAATCTAAAACTGTATCGGTGCTTTGCTCTTTCTAACTAAGCAGTGGTGGCTCTTTTGTAAAGAATCTTTGTAGAGGTACCCCTCTAAGTTACAATTACATAGGCTTCCATACTATGGTCATTTTTGTACACAATTCTAGCAGCTGTTTAAATGTATTGGTAAACTTGGTTTAAGGGTCAATACTGAAATGTATAAAATGTATCTCTTAATTTATAAAGGTTTAGGTTTTGTTTAATTTATAATGGTTAACCCAATCATGCAGTAATATCACATGTCAATATTTATTGAACCACAAACCATGTCAATCTATGATCTGATACCAAAAGATCTTTTAAATGTATATATTTATTGTAGCTGTTGCTACAGTACTTTGTCTTGTTACTTTTTAGAAACTGTCCCATGGCTTTTCTATTTATTTTATATTTCTGTATGCTGTGATTCTCAAACTGTTTGCTAAACTGAGTCAGAGACATAAGCACTGTTAGTATATACTACTTCTCTTCAGCAGGTCAGATCTCCAGGAGGTGACTGTTTTAGTGATATTTAATAAATAAAGCATTGTCTATTTGAGTGGAGGGTGCTGCTGTTGACATGCTCTTGGGTGGTGTTGATTGTTGCCGGGTTGGTGCAGCTTTGAGGCTCTTCCAAAGGCAAGTGTAAATACTGTGAATTTCAATAGCTTTTTTGTTTTCTACCATGCAAATGTTTGTTTTGTGTCGACACCAAAAAGAACTAATGTACACAGCTCACTATCCTGGTGGTGGTCAATATCTCATGTCTGTTGTACTGTTTGTACATTTTTAAAACGTCTTTTAAAGTAAAACCTAAGTAGTTTATGGAGATTCTCCGAGTTAGTCTTGGCACATCTTGGTGTGGAGTCACTTACAATACGTGGGGTATATCCTACACAAAGCTACTTTTACAAAACTATTATGACTGATCTACTCCTTTTATTGGCAGCTGTAACTGACAGCTAGCCTTAGTTAGATGGGTAACAGTAAAATGCCTATAAAACATTAATCATTATTTAGTTGCCTAAATTTGCTCACTAATAAAGTATCCATTTACAGTAGTTATGGGTATGTGAGGGATCAAACTTGAATTCTTCAGTATAACAAGTCAAAGTCCTAACTCCTTTACCACTTGGAAGGAGACAGCAATGGTCTGTCTCAAGTTAGGGGTTAGAGACCCCTAGTGTTTACTTCAGCATATTATAAATGAGCAACTTGAGGTGCATCTAAAACACTCAACTATAGCAAAATGGCTTTTTATTACAAAATATAAATTATTTACACAGAAACATAATTTAAGTTATGCTAACACACAAGTCCTTAAACTATTTCTCCCTGATTTTACAGATTGTGCGGTCGAAGGTAGTTACTCCAAATAATGCATTTACAACCAACATATTGGCCTATGTATAAACAAAAAACAAAAAACTCACGTCTACTTCTCCCATTAACTCAGTCTGCTAAATAAACTATAGTAAATCTAAATCATTATTGGTTCTTTTTTTTTTTTTTTACTATAGAACTGAAAATTGTACATGTAAACCAGAATGCAGCATTGAGTTATTAGTTAGTATATTGCACATTTCGTTGGCTTGTTCTCATTTAATTGTGAATAAACAGCTTTTGTTGGTTCTATCTTGACGTGTTCATGAGAAAAGAGTCACAAGAATATCGCAGAAATCTGTAGACCTCCTCTGCCCTGGAGCGGCTCATGCAGCCTCCCTTTTGTATGGCTTCAATGGAACTGAAAGGTAAGAACAAAATTCTTTATTATGCTAGTCTTGATACCTAGAGCATAGGTTATGAATTTCACTAAAATGTAGTTCATAATATAACATCCTTAAATGTACACTTACAATCCTTCCTAGTTAGACAGTTTTAGAGAAGTTATGCAATTTTACTTCCTGGTTGGACATAGAACAGCAGATGCTGTCAAGGGCCAAAGCTCACCTAATTTACACAATAGTTATTATCCAACAGAACTTTTATTTTTCCTAAAGGTACACTTTAACTTTTTGGAGGTGGCATGTCATCTGCATGGTTCCATGGAAACAGAAAGATGAAACATTCTCACTGGAGGTTGATACATTTTGTCATACTATGAAATATTATAACCAAAGGAACAATTTCTCCATGGAAACAAAAAGGAGGAGGCCCTTTGTGTGGTTTGTGGAGATGTAAGGATGCAGTTATTCAGGTGCAATAACAAAATGGGAAAAAATAAAAGTTTTTATTGCAGTGTAATTTTTGGCTGAACTGTTAGTTACTGCGGCTTTAAAATAATATTTAAAAAGTCAGAAAAATGCATTTTGGATATTTGTGTATTGATAACCTAGATAAAGGGGTTCCATTTTTGCTTATTTATAGTCCAAGACTGTAAACTTGAAATTACGGCCGCTATTCAATTTAGTAGAACCTGAAATTTGCTTTTCTTTCCCCCCAACGTTTCTTCACACACACTGGACTGATATAAAATTATGATAAATAATTTTATACCACAGGCTGAAGAAGAAAAACATGAAAACTTGTTACCTCACCTGTTTATGAGCTGGCCAACTGTCCTGAAATTGTGGCACAAGTTGAGCGCGTGCACATAGTTGACTGAGGGTAAGTTGAGATACATCTGCAGAGCCTGTTGCCTGTGCGCACCCGTCACCTCCAGGGGTACGGAGATCCCATGAGACTTCCTTTGCTCCAGACGGGCCAGCTCCACCAGCAGAGCGGCGCTGTCCTCAGGGCCATTAGACCAGAGCAGTCTCAGCCCTGAGCGAACCAGAGCGACCAGAGTACTGTCGTAGTAACGTGTTCTCTGGAAAGGCCGCGTTGTGTCACCTGTGGTGAGTGAAATGTAGAATACACTGTCACATGGACCTAAACCAGCATGATGTTGAAATATGGCACTATAAAGATACATTGACTGTCAATAAAAAGTCTACGTGCTATCCATCTCAAATTATATTATTACAGACCAATTGTCATTTTGGATTTTCAAGCCATATTTCTTTTGGGCAGGTATTTACCACACTGTGTACACATTCACATCATGAGGCCTCCCTGTAAATTTGGTCACCATAATGTAAATTCTGTATAAATTATAGACCAACAAGATTTAAAGTTCAGATATGGGATAATATAGGTTATGGTGAGGGTTTAGGTTAAGGTTAGGTAAGTAGTAAATAGGGTTACATCAAGGATCAGTCTCCAGTATATAAATGTAATATTCTGTGTGAATTCAATTTTAAATGTATTTAATCTAATCAAATTCAACTGTTTAAATATTATGAATAATTAAACTATGCTACAGTATGTGTCTGGAACAAACAATACATGCCAGCAGAGGGCGCTGGACCTCCACTTACTGATGCACATAGGAGTCATGCAGAGTAAACAAGGCTAAAAACAATAGCTGCTAGCGCTGAAGCTGTGCAGTGAAGGCAATGATGCCCTTGTGAAGAGGTGCGGCCTAATCTCAAGGGGACAATTTAAACATTCAGGATTATTCATAACATGTAAGATTGGAACATCCAGGAATGTTTTTGACACATTTTAACATAAAAAAATCAGTATTGCTGTTTATTTGTGAATTGTCTGTGTATAATAACCAACCTGGCTTGATGCGGTCTTTTTCTACAATCAAACACACTCTCTCAAACAGCGTCTGTAATCTGTTGACCCTCTCGACCAATCGCTTCCTGTTTTGAACGGAGGCAAACTCTGATTGGCTGTGTCTCTCCACAGCCATGCGGGCGCTCACGATGATGTAGCTACTGTCCAGAGAGCACACATGGACCACAGCAGAGTGACGCTGCCGCAGCCAGGTCACGAGCTCCACAGCTCCTGTCAGGCACCGACTGTCCACCAGGAGGCGCACTTGGTCCACTGCACAGGTTTGAGGGGGGGCCAGTGCAGACGCTGAGGGGGCGCTCTGGGAGGAGAGACTAGATTAAATTAGATATTGCGTATATAGTGAGTAGATGGCTGTATAATCTGTTCAAGCTAATGCATTATGTGAGAATATGAATATGAGTAACAGTGGGGGGGGGGCTCACAGAAGCAGAGATAATTTTTTACATTTTGTTCATTGTAAAATGGTCAGCTTAATAATAGAAACAGGCCCAGTGACTTTTACTTTCTTATTCTTAACTGCACAACTGATAAAGCCTGTCTCCTCATAGTTGCATTTTACAGAAACAACTGCAGATTTTCAATTGTGTGTTTACTCTGACATTTATGAACCTGAAAAGTAGCATAAGTAATTACAAGTATTAATCACAAAGTGGGCAGTAACTGGGGTAAGGGAAGAAAAAAATTGCAGTACTTAGGACTCAAATGCAGCTGGACATAGACACAACGTAGTCTTATGCCAAGGGATCATTATAAAATGGTCAAAAGATTTTAAAAGTCTATTTTTACTAATTTGTCCCCTTTAAGGACAAATGTTTACCTGAGCAGAAACGTTGTTGGATAAAAGAGATTCTGACTCCACAAAGTCCAGCTCATCAGAGAGGAGATGCTCAGTTTCTATTCTCTTGCGGTACCTAAAAGACAAAAAAAAAAAAAAAAAACAGTTTAATATAATATTTATGTCAATATTGTAAGTATTTTTTCTCCTCTTGGATTACAAACATTTAAGGGCCTGTACCTAATTTTTAAACAACGACTGAGGAACACGTGTAGTGTGAACTTTAGCCCTGCCTATTTCTTTATTATAGATAGGACACTTTTTTGCTTTTAAAACACCTTCACAAAAACATATTTCTTCATATTGTTAGGACTGAAAAGAATCATGGGATATGTAGTTCCCTATGTCTATAAGCTGTTGGTACTATAAAACCATGCATTTAAGCAAAGGATCTTGCAATTCGATATATTGTGACAGTCCATGATATTATTGTGAGACTTTTAACAATACGACATCACAATATTTTAGTTACTGTTATATCCCTATTCCTCACTGTTTCCAACAATCTCGATTTTCTGTCATAGTGTTGTATTTACACTCTTGAAAATGCACTGAGAGTGTAATGTGTCTTGCCATTAAGAACAACACAATTAGAGCGTTCATTCACCTCTCATCCCGTTGTTCATTTGTGGGTAAAGCCTTCTGGACCTGACTCTGCCTCGACATTTTGAATGCAATAGATGAAGAGGAGGATTGACCATTCTGATGCTCCAATCTGTTCCCATGAGCTGAATTTGACCTATCATCTGTTTTCACCACAGCATTTGTATCATTGCCCTCCGTCTCTTCATCACTGGAGTCCTGTATGCGTATGACCCGGGCGAGTTTGGCTTTAGTGCCCCCTCTGTTTGCAGGCGGTACATGTGTTTTGCCCTTGGCTCTGGCCTGGTGAAGGAACACTCGTCTCCTGGTGGCATACTGTCTCCTGCCATCCACGTAAGACTCTTCAGGGAGCAGGGGACCCACTCCTTCCTCCTCCTCTTCACTGTAGTCTTCACTCTGCTCCTCTTCATCACTGCCCACCACAAAGCTGTCCTCGGCGTACGTCTCATCCATCTCTGGGACCTGCAAATCATTTTACAAGTTTCATTTCATTTCATTTCATCTATTTCTTTGTTTGATCCAGGTACAACAAAATTCAAAAACAATACCAAAAATAGTGATATATACATGACATATTTGGGACCTGGTGCTCAAAAGGAGTAGGATGAAGTTTAAAAAACTTATGGAGTCCTACCCCAATTGTTTTACATAATCATGTGGTTCACTTTTTCTTTTCTTTTTTAATTTTAATCACCATTGGAGTGCTTACCTGTCATTTGCAAAAAAAATATACCCACATATATACAAAAACATATCCACATAAACTTACATATATATGCAAGTACACACGTATGTACATACAAACATACATATGCACATCATAGATATCCAGTAGAACAGTAGTACAAGTTTAGAAGTGTTCTGAATTCAATGTTTAAGCAAAACTATTATATAAACATGCAGATGTTGTTGATATTTAGTTTGGCCCACGACTTAGTCACAGTTTTTAATTTTGGCCCTCTGTGAATTTGAGTTTGACACCCCTGATATATTGTGATGTGTGAGCTACTGTGTCCAAATAATTTCCCTTGTGGGTCAATAAAGTTTGTCTAAGTCTAAGTACAAAAACAAGGATGTCATCTGTGCAGTCTGTGAAAGATGACCATAAGAGGTCAGTAATAAGAGATATGTGTGTGAGATTATCAGGGCATGTACGCATATGAACTAGTAAATCCCTGGGTTATAGTCATCGCTCTGAGAGCAAAAACAGGCTTTGTAGGATCAGTTAAACTAACATCAATAATAAGCCAATGATCCAACTTTTCTTTTTTTTTTTTAAGTAACAAAATCCCTAGACATTTTGGTGTTGTCTTCAGTTTATTCCTAAATCCAAATATCAATTTCTGAGAAAAAACTAGAGCATAAAAAATTTCACTGAAGTTGAAATACCTGGGAGAATATATCCATGTTATGACGATTTTTATAGGACATTTTGAACTTGCCAAGCATCGCAGGACTTCGGACAGATTTGAGATAAACCCCGTGCATCTCTGATTCTAAAAATGTAAAAAAAATATATATATATATTATCAACAACCACATCAGATTGTAAGCATACTATTAGGGCTGTAGTCCTTTAGTTGTTTAGTCAATTAATCAATCCATGGTCCCTAGACGACCAAAATATGTATTAATTAACTAATCATTTTATTTACATTATAAGGATTTATATTGGACAAGATAGCAGATAGGAGTTATTTTGTGAGTGAGTTAGTTAGTTACTCTGTTAGTGTTTAGTAAAGTTAGTTAAGTTTAATCTGTCTTTATATAAATACATAGTTTCCTAGTGCTTTTTTCTCCATAAAGTTATTTTGATCTTGAACTACCGTGCAGGTCTATTCTTTGAGTGCAGACTGGGTCAGATAGGTAGAGAGGGTAATAGTTTTGAGAGCTTTTTCCACACACCGTTTTTGGTCTTTACCAAGACCTACAGCCCTATATACTATTACTGTACCATTGAGCCCCTGGGAAAGGTGAGAGTTGTCCACCACGAAGCCTTCTAGTGACCGGTTCTGCTCCTCTCCGTCCTCTTCATCGCTGGACACGCCATCCTCATCCTCGGACAGCTCGGCCTCATTGTCCAGGAACTGGTGGACTCGGCGACAGGAGGAACGCTGATGGAGAGAGGAGACATCAGTGAAAATGTCAGGTCTGATACGCGCTCAAGGTGACTTCTTAATCGGACCAGTGGTATTTAGCTCTACAACTGGCATTTGGGTTTTTCTCTGTAAACAGAGATGAGCGGTGTGGGGATTTAAGTGCAGTGGGAAAGGGCAATGGTAGATGTTGAGATAATACTAAAATTGATAGCTGGACAAAACATTGAATTGCGATTTTTATGACAATTAATGTGATTAGGGCTGGGTATCATTAAGAAGTTGTTGATATGATACATACCTCGAAACAGGCCACGATACAATACTTATCTCGAAACAGTGCTGCAAAACTGTAGCACTGTAACAAAATAATTTAGTAAAATATACCAAAAAATACTCTTGGCGATATATCAATAGAGCAGCCTCCGATATCAATATTGTATCTGCACATTTAAACGACGGTTTGCAGAAGACATTATATTAGTAGGTCTGTAGGCCTTTAAACTAATACAAAGTTTGGTTGACTAAGAAACCATTAACCAATTAATCGACTAAACAATTTCATTTAGATTATAAGGATTTAAATTGGACATCACCAGAAAAGAGAAGTTGTGAGTGAGTGATCTGAAGATTTGGTATTATTGTTGGCATTTATGTATATGTAAAAGTCAAATTAAATTAAATTAAAATGAAAAGTTTAATCTGTCTGTATATAAATGCATTGTTTTATAGTACTTGCAGTTAGTCTTGTGAGTGCAGTTTGGGTCAGACACATAGAAACATGTTTTACTTTTGGGAGCTTTTGCCTTTTTTCGTTGACTAATCAATCAGCACTTACTACTTATTACAGCTCTGCATATTACCTAAATATCTGAAATCTTTCTATCTATACACCTGTGTTATATCTCAGTGGTCATGTTTTTGGTCACTTTGGTTCATACAAATGTTACCGGTGTACAGACAAACAAATACCTGGTCTTTTCCTTGTTTTAGATGTTTCCTTTTTGGTCCTGGTCCAGGGTTGATATTTGTGAAGACTGTGTCATTCTGGAAATCATCATCAGATATAGCTCCCTTCTCCACTTCACTAGACTGGGATAAAGCATATCATGAATTTAAAATATTAATATAACATTACAGTTTGTGGAATTATACATTGTAATGAGATAATGTACAATATAATCCCAACTGTATGCATGTAATGACATATATTGATTATTAAAACTTACTGTATCAAGTGCAGCAACACGTTTCCTCTTCAGAATAAACGGGGAGTCCACGTCACTGACATTTCTCGTCTAGTCACAGGGAACATGAGGAATACATGCACGACCCTTATGTATTCACAGTGTATTGCAATGTGACAATTACCAGTGCCATACTAAATTATGAATGTGTGTAGAAGTGTAGCACAGATATGTAGTGTCTTGTCATCACGGGCAGAGGACAGAAAGACAAACAAATGAAAAGGTCCATTAGCTGTTATCAGTGTCTACGGTTCCACCTGAGATAAGGATGTTTTTAAAAGCAGAGTTCAGATGGTTGTCAGGACAACGGCGGGTCCTGATGGAGAAGATGGACGGATGTGTCTGAATGAGATATCATCAGTCTATACACAAGAGATGGACGTGGAATTGGCTTGGCTGATTATTGTGGATTACTTTTGACCTTCACAGTGACAAGAGTCAATATTTATAAGAATGGTAGTGAGGCAGCAATGTGGCACAATTTCATAAAAACATCAATGATCTATAAATACAATTAAATTTATTTTACTTCAGTTTTTTCTGTAATTCTGTGAGTTCTACTACAGACCCACACTGCCACATTAGTACAATATTTAAAGGACCTATATTAGGCAATTTTCTGAGCATAACATATCTCATCACAAACATACCTAGAGTTGTGTTTTGTTTCATTCACACATGTTTAACACACAAACCTTGCATATTTAGAGTGAGTTCTTCTCTCAGACAGAAAACACTTACCTTGTGATGTCATGTGCTAACATAGAAACTCTGAACTGATGGTAAAACTATCGCTTCATGACATCAAAAGGTGGAAGAGAGCATTTTCAGCTTTGGAGATGTACACAGTACTACCCAAATGTGTGAATGAAACAAAACACAAATCCAGGTATGTTTTTGAGAAGGTAACAACACCTCACAAGAGTAAATTTTGCATAATATAGGACCTTTAAAATTAAAAGTTGCTATTGTATGCTCTTGGTGTCAACTAGGTCTGAAAAAATTGAGGGAAATTATGTCATTGTAATTTCTAGGAAACCTTAGTTCTGATTGATGAGTGGAAATCCTGAAGAATTGGCCTTAGAAAAAAAGACAGAATTATGAACTGCTGAACTAATAAGAATCACATGTATGTTATCTTAACTATAATTGGCAAATTTTATACACAACATCCCCATGGAGACAGGGGATTTGGTCATTCACAGAAGTTAGGCTTAAATAACTGATTTGTTCAATGTGACCATTCAAATTGGATTTCTATTTGATGTGATATATTTTGCAACTCTGCTCCAAAAATTACCTTTTCCGGAGATGAGAAATAGTTGACCTTTTTGGGTTGTTTTCGATTCTGGATCACCACTTCCTCCTCACTGTCAGTGCTGCTTTTCACTGAGAACCAACAAAAATACACCAGAAACCTGCTGGCATCATACTTTCATAAAAAGGGTGTATAAAAAAATGTGATACTGAATGTGATACCTGGATTCCTCCCACTCTCTGCTCCTTTGGTCTGATTTAGTTTGCGTCGAGGTGCTGAGGTGTGAAGTGAGGAGATTGGAGAAGGGAGCGCACTTCCTGTGGCACCCAGGGGAGAGGAGGGGAAGCGACCAGACTTATTCAAGTGTGCCAAACGTGGGGTGGACAGTCTGGCTTCTCTGGACCGCACAGATGACCCCTCCTGCTTAGAAAAACCAGTACAGGGAGTGGAGGAGCTGGAGCTAACTTGAACAGAGAGTCGAGGGGTTTTAGGTTGTGGAGATGGTGGTATACATTTCGCTTCGGTGATCTCCTCCTCCTCAGAATCATCCATTGAGAAACCAAGATCAAAGTTTACAGAGAATAAATCGTTCGAATTTTCTAAAGATTCAGGTTGCACATTTCTCGTACATATCGGCTCTTCAACAGTTATAGATTCATTTGCAAGCCTAGTGTCATTTTTGACGATGAGAGAATTATCAATATGTGTATTCCCTAATGCCATTCTTTTTGTAGTATTGGCAACATTTTCCAAAATTTCTGATTTGTTTATTTCACAGTTCTCCTGCTCCTTTTGATGAATGGGTGAATCTTCCGGTGTAGGGACATCTGGAATTGACATTTGTAAAAAGGCTTCATCATCTTCGAATAGATCCATGCTCTCATTTATATCAGGTTTAAAAGTTGTGTTTTCTGTACATTTTAACACTTTCTCTTTTGTTTCTATATTTGCATCTTCCTCATATACATCATCTTCAAAAACTTCTTCCCATGTTGGACTGTTTTGAACTGTATTGCCTTTATCCGATGGGGTTTTAGCTCCTAAATCTTCCATGCAGTTTGTATTGTCATTGATCTCCATCTCCTCTTCCTCGTCTTCATCATCAAGGGTGAAACTGACTTGAAATGGCTGACATGGCAGCTCCTTTGGTGAGACAAATTCTGAAACTGAGCACAAAATATCTTCGAAATCCAGCGATGGTGGCGGACGAGACAAGAGCTCCGAAACATTTGCAAGAATAACTTTTAAATTATCGTCTCTGTCCTTTCCTACTGGTTTAATCGAAGAAAGACGACATCCCCAATTTGGCAAATAAAACATGGCCTGAAGTTCAAGATCCTCATCCTCATTAAACATCAGTGGAATATGATCAGGGTTATGATCTGTTAGACTGGACTTTATATGCTCTGGATCAGCATTCAAAATACAGTCATCCTCTAACAGATCGATACAATTGTTATTCACAGGTATTGGTGAGGTAGTTTTAACAGCAGCGACACTTTCAACAAGAAATCTTTGCTCCTCCTCCGGTAGGTTCAGTTCAGGCTCCTCGGTGATAAAGTCAGGGTCATATGAAAATGAATGACTTGTTTTTTTGGGTTTCACACATGGCTTTGATTTCTTCTGTGCATTCTTAGAATTCGCTTCAGAAAGGTAAGGCCGAAGGTCATCTTCATAGTGACACTGCCCCTAAAAGATGAACACAGGGCAGAGTTAAAGGTTGATTTTATGGCTGAAAAAAAAAATTAATAAGAGATATATTGTTTTTTAGCATATCGGCCTTAAAATTCCAGCAGAGGCTGATATTCTGTTTAACCATCCAGCTGCATCCTTATGGATAAAGAGTAATGCAACTCTTCTAAAGAAGGTCCTGCAGAAATGTGACTACACTACTCTTTTATCCAGTTTGTAGTAAAACAGAGCTGTGGATGAGTTTGAGCAAAATTCAAATATCTTGGCTAAAATGACCAAAAGCGGCCCTACATCAGCCTAAAAATATTGTGACCAAAAATGTTGGCAGAGTTCATCAGATAGCAGTTTCTCTGGATTCTCTGGAGCAATTGATACCTAGCCAGGCTGGTGCCACGTAGTGGCTCCACTCAATTTCATTTCTCTCCACCGACTAGGTCAGGAATTCGAATACACTAGACGGTTTGCAAAAACCCTGGATGTCCAAGTTCGGGCACGAGGCAGTCAGCAAAGAGCCATACATTCTGTGTTGGCAACGATTCCTGAGATCAAGGATTTAAAGCCAGAACAATGAGAATGTTCAGTCAGTTTTATAAAGGAGAAAGACGTTATCACCCTTCTTCCTACGGGATTTGGGAAAAGCTTAATATACCACTTAGCCCCGTCAGCGGCACATTACATACGTTAAGACCAAATAGCAGCAATTGATTAAATGAAAAAAAGTACCCACCTACCATCGAGAACAAATTCTAACGCTACGAGGTCAGATGGTTTCTACGAAATGAAACCATGGTGAATCAGGCTAATTTATATCAGCATTGGCTATGGAAAAAAACATTCTTGAATTAGGATTCCCTTTTATTGTAAATGTTTTGTATCAAATTGAAAAGCCCAAAATTTATAGTGAAAACTCCATAAATCTATCCTTCCCCTACTACTTTTAGGCTGAATCATGTATCAAGAATCGAAATACAAACTATCTTACACTCCAAGATACACACCCCCACTGACATTTGACGCATTTTACAAAGGAGTTGTGATCAGAGAACTCAGCGCACCGGAGTAAACCATATGCAGACATGTGGAGAACCTCAGAAACCTCTTGCTGTGAGGTTGAAGCTCTAACCACTATGCCACTGTGCAGCAACAGAGCTTACATCACCTTTTTTCTTTTTTTTTCAGCCGCTAAAACACAAATAACTAATAATTACTATGATTAATCTGTTCTTGCCCTGTGGCCTAGGACCTGTTAAGTACTTTCTATCACATGCTATTAAAGCAAATGGAGATTGAGAGAATTTAGATTATTAATTCGTGGAAAATCAGTCAGTGTGGTAAATATAAAACCAAGGTGCGAATGATTGCTGAAAGTGCTCATGCCACTCTCATCTGTTACATTACCTGAGAAATGCAGGTGACCCGATTTTGATGAAAAATAAGTGAATAGGAGGAGACGTGGAATCTGTCTACTGACTACTTGGACTTTTAACCCAGAAAAGCTTTGGCAGAACCCGCTGTGTTCTGTACTTTCAGGTCACAAGGTTTATTAGCACCACGCAGAGATCGTCTCCTGTCCACTGTTGCGCAAATTAAGAACAATATGGACTCCCAAAAATGTCCGCTTCAATTTGACCTAGATATACTGCACTATTTCCCCGAATTACTGAAGAAAATGGTGGAAATACACATCTTAGAGTACACGTAACACATATAGGTCTACTTCAAAGACTAGTTAAGGAACAGGTTGGCATTACAAATATCAAAATCAAAAAAATTAATGAATCCCAGTTTTCATCGAGCCAAATGAAGACGTAAGTAAAGTCATCTGCTTCTTCCAAGTTGGACTGTACCCAATATTTTTCCATGTATTTGAGCGAAACTTGTCTAGTCCAGCACGGATATAATGTATAAACACCTCTCGAGGTCCAAATATTTCTGCGGTGTGCTGTCTGGCACAAATTATAAAGCATTTTATTGTCCAAGTATCAAGTAAAGCACAGATAGCATGCTAGTTGTTGTAAAAAATTTAAATGAATTAATTCTATTTTTCTCCTTTTTAATCTACTTGTCACTCTCTCAGAGCAGTGTTGAGGTTGACCAACAGGAAGTGTGGGTGGAAAAAATGCTTTTGTTTGAGCTCCATTCAAGAGATAATTTGTTAATCAAATTCATATCATCACAGAAATGAGCTCACAATCAAATTTTAGTGTTGCCATGTTACTGAAATTCCAACCTCTGTTTAAGCACTAAAGGAAAAGTCTTGATCTATTTTGATACCACAAGGAGAATGGGAAGTTATCTCTTACATCAGAATCCAATTTTCAGCACACAATACTTGTTTTTCCAATAGTAAAATGTGTGGTCTTATAATATATATTTCTATGATTTTAACAATATTGGTACTTCAAATGTAGCCTGTTTCATCAGCCGGTTTCACTTCATGGAAACCGTCTGACCTTGCAGCATTAGGATTCATTAGGTACGGTAGACGGGTACTTTTTTCACTTAACCAATCGCAGCTATTGGGACATATGTAATGTATCAAATCCTGTAGGAAGAAGGGCAATAACATCTTTCCGCTTGCTAAAATTCACCAAATATTCTCTTTGTTCCTGCTTTAAATCCTCGATCTTGGGAATCATTGCCAACACAGAATGTATGGCTTCAACTACATCCGTCTCGACCGCTTTGTTTAATGCTGTGCTGTACCACAAAAGGGACCCAGACAGGAGCTTGAGTTTGACATCATGGCTTCACAGCTCTTCGCTGATTGGCCGATGCACGGTCTACAACTTCTGGGGTTCTTGCTGTCTAGTATATTCCGATACCTAATTGCTGGAGAGAAATGAAATTGAGCAGAGGCACTAGGTGGTGGCAGCCTGGCTACATCAAATGAGAAGCAAATTTCAACACTAGTTTTAGGGTTGATTTTGTGACAATACATACCTTTCTACATTAAAGGTTCTGTATTAAACTAAATTGACTCTAGTGATCTTTAAGCTACAGTATGTTACAAATTAATGTTGTTACCTCGTCATAAACAGAGTTGTGTTTGGGGTTTTTTTCCACATTTGAGTAATCCTATTATTAGTCTGTCTGCATCTCCAAAGCCCAAAATACTCTGTTCCACCTTGTGACATCACGAAGTGGTAGTTTTCAAGTTAACGGCTACCGTTTAACTTTAGTTCAGTAGAGCAATTCCAACGCTGAAATCATCCAAATGATTCTAGTGAAGGTATTTGGAGTTTAAAACACAGTGGAGCACTTGACAGAACAAAATATTTTCTTTTTGACACAAGAACCTCTAACCTAAATATGCAGGGTTTGTGTATTAAACATGTGTTAATGAAACAGAACACAACTCCGGGTATGTTTTTTAGGCACAATATTAAAACATAAATCAGAAAATAGCGTAATGCAGGCCCTGCAATAATCTCAAACTACATGATTGATGTGTTTCACCTTGTTTGAACTGAAGAGATAATTATAGATTGATGAAAGATTATTATTTGCTCATTCCCCACAATTAATAACCACACACAAACATAACTGCAGATTGCATGATTGGACAGCTGCCAAAACTCACATCTTTACAGAAAGTCAACTGAAGATTTCCTGATCATCTTGGGCAAAATCTGTCAGTCTGTATTATGCATTGAATTACCCAGTACTCTGAATAAAGTCTGGGATCGTGGTCACAACATAAATTTTGCAGTTAGACAAATGTTAAACTAATGGTGATATTAAGATGCTAAATACTAAGCTTAGTGTTCATTCAGAAGTGTTATCTAGTGACACATGTATTTTATTAGCCTGATTCATCAGCCAGTTTCACTTAGTAGAAACTGTCTGATCTCGCAGCGATCGCTTGACGGTAGGTGGGTACTTTTTTTATTTAACCAATCACTGCTATTTGGTCATGATGTATATAATAAGCCACTAATGGGGCCAACTGGTATATTAAGCTTTTCCCAAATCAGGTAGGAAGAAGGACAATAACATCTTTCCCCTTTATAAAATTCACCAAACATTCTCTTTGTTCCGGCTTTAAATCCTCGGGAATCGTTGCCAACACACAATATATGACTCTTCGCTGATTGGCTGGTGCCCGAACTTGCACTTCCAGGGTTTTTGCGAACCGTCTAGTGTATTCTGATTCCTGATCTAGTCGGTGGAGAGAAATTAAATTGAGCGGAGGCACTACGTGGCACCAGTCTGGCTAGTATTTTACAGCAGTGACTCAGCATATTATCGGGTTGTTCTACTCCTCTTTTGTTTACTTTTTTAACATCGTTTTGCTAAATACTAACATTAGTGTTCATTCAAAAGTGCTATATAGTGATTCATGTATTGTATAGCAGTGACCCAGCATTTCATGGGGTTGTTGTGTGCCTCTTTTGTTTACTTCTTTAAATAGTTTTGGCCTTTGAATCTCTACACACACACACACACACACACAAATAGACTCTTATGAGCTTGAATGTTGTTACCTCCTCAAAAACATACCCAGAGTTGAGTTTTGTTTACACATGTTTGTGTAATCCTTTATTTTTAGACTATCTACATCTCTAAAGCTTAAAATGCTCTGTTCCACCTTGTGATGTCATGAAGTGGTAGTTTTCAAGTTAACAGCTTACCTTTTACCTTTCTCTGGATAGAGATTGGCGATTCCAGGGCTGAAATCACCCAAATGATTCCAGTGAAGGTGCATGGACTTTAAAAACACAGCAGAGCACTTCCTGTACATGACATCACAAGGTGAAGGTGGAACTGAATGTTTTCGGTTTGAAAGAAAAACTCAAAGTGGAACATATTGTTTTCTGCTTAAACCTAAATATGCAGGGTTTGTATGTTAAACATGTGTGAATAAAACAAAACAACTCCAGGTATATTTTTGATGAGGAAACATTATAACATAAATCAGAAAAGAGTGTAGTTTCTATGGAATGGCACAATTCATACAAACATCTATAATCTGTAATATAATGAATTAAAAAATAGGGTTAACATTGAAATAGGATTAGGCAAAATAAGTATCAAAAATACCTAAACCCTTTCAATCTGTATACAGATCTGACAACAAATGAACTGATACCAATAATAACAGACCAACAAACCCACACAGTCAATAACATAACATCATAATGCATAATGTAGAGAGATTTAGAAGGTGAGTCACTGTTGCTAAGGGATAAAATCACTTTAAAGTTACTTCTACTTTACCAAACTGTTGCTAAGTAGCATTAATCTTGTTTCTTTTAATGTTATAAATATAATCTTTCCCTCAAACTTATTTTTATGCTAATATATTGTATTTTTTGCATCAATTTCCGATCGCTAGTCCCCTCCTTTTCAATGTACTCTATACATGTAGGTCATCACATGCTGACCCACTTTCAGCTTCCCGGGTTTATGTAAGCATACAGAGAGGGCCTTACATAATCAGCAGTCCACCAATCATAACAAGCAGAAAGAGAAGCGGAGGCTAGCACGCACACAGGCGGATTTTGAGCCTGACCAGACACGGAGCAGACAAAGGGAAGGCTGCTGTCTGTGGCCAAGGAACTAAACTAATGGTGTATACTGTGATTTAGGTGAAAGGTCAGAGGGTCTCCAAGTCATCAACAAGCCAAATAATGATCAGTACACAATAAAACAATTTTCTCTTTTGTAACAAATAGACAAGTTTTATAGACCAGGCTAATTCATCTTGTTTAAATGGCCTATATTACTCTATTTTCTGACCTTTGTTATATATAATATTGTTTCCTCAACAGAAACATACCGTACTTGGAGTTGTGTTTTGTTTCATTTACACGTTTAACACAGAAACCCCGCATATTTAGGTTTAAGCAGAAAACAATATGTTACACTTTGTGATGTCATGTGGCAAAACAGGAAGTGCTCCACTGTGTTTTTAAGCTTTACACACTAGATTCATTATAACTTCAGACCTGGTATTGCTAATCTCTGCTGATCTAAAGTTAAAAGGCACCTGTTAACATGAAAACCAGAGCTTCATGATATTAACAAGGTGGAAAAGCTCACAGGAGTAGATTTTGCACAATATAGGACCTTTAATAAAATTAAAAATATAATATACTTTCCATCTTGGTTAAACAATTTGGGAAAAATATTCAACTGTGATTTCTCTGACAAGCATTGTGATTGTGATTATGATTTGACTGACAATTTATGTTTTAAAAATAGGATTCTGATCAAAGTTCACATTTTAAACATGTCCAGAAGAATTGACGTAAAAACTGAAATATGAATTGAGAAACTAATACAATAAATCTAATTTCACACCATTGTAGAGAAATAAACTACAGGGTTAACAGTTTTATGCAGAATAAGACAGGATATTTTATTGTTTGTTGAGGAAATTATAGCCCTTCAAAACTTACAATCTTTGCGATTTGCTAACTGTGTCCATACAAACTGTGATTTCATTTAGATTGTGAAAACATTTAATTAACATCGGGGGCAGTTAGGAGTGGTGTAATAATGGTATTCTAGTGAGAAGTAAATTATCAGTAATACCTGAAAAATAACCTAGTAAACTTAAGACTCCTGTTGTGCACATGATTTGATGACCTACAAGCACAACCCCATCTCTGACCATTTTGTTTTCACAGGTGGGCTTATCCTGGTACAGCACAAGAGGGGTTAGCAGCCAATAGTTGACCCGATACTAATCTCTGACCTGAATTCAAGAATTTAGACCAATCTTATTGACTGCAGACTCCATACAAATGGGGTAAGATAGGAAGCTAGGGCAATATTCCCAAACAAGGCAAACACTGACTTCTTTGTGTAATATTAATGTGAATAAACAATCATGTAACAAACTCAATAATGACAGCCTAAGGCGGCCTCAATCTAGATCAGTGAATTTGGTTTAATTTAACTGGTGACTCACAATGGAAAATGATAACTAATGACGTAAGGCCTCAACAGTTGTTTTTTCAGTGCTATTGAAAGAACAGTTAGTCACAATTATTACGTGGATATACACATCAATTTCAGCTGTTAATTCTGAGCAGTGATTAGCTGGGTCTAAATTAAACTATTAAAAATGAATACAATTCTGAAATGTAGGACTAGGATGAAAAGTCAGTTGCAAAAATAATCTGACAAAAGGAGTGTTGTAATAGTATTGAGCAAAAATAAATTCAAATGAATTAATTGAATACTAAAACTACAAGAGGCCGTTTATCGTGTCAGAGACCGGCCCTCGGGGTGAAGAGATGAATGTAGACACTCTACACAGACCCTATCTGTAAGTTCACATGCAGCTCAGCTGACAGCTATCTCTTTAAAAGGCTCACTTTAGTCTGCTGCTGTTTTGGATTTGCATAGGTCTGGACATATAAAATTCACACAATACACTCTACAAACCACATCAAATTCTCTAGGAAGCGAGCAATCCACTGCACCACTGCCTCACACAATCTGATGATTTTCATTATAAAGTGAACAAGATAAATATAGCTCACAAGCGTTGTTGGGAGTCAAACTCTGACCAACAGTAAATGAATATAATATATATTCATATACGCCACATGTTCTCACCTCAGGTTCATATTTCATTTGGTCGATCAATTCCATAATTTTGATGAAGTGTTGGCAGCGAAGTGAATGCTCTACAGCATGTGTGGGTAAGCTTTTGTTCTGCCAGTGTCTCCACTCACTCAAAGACAGCTCCCGAGACGGAGTAACACTTGTGCACTCCTGTTCCTTTGAAAAATACACATACATTCATAGAACAAGTCAGTTAAAGACACAATAATCCAGGTTTTAGATATTAGCCTAATCCTTCACACAAACAAACAGAATAAGGTTATGTATGACTTCCTCCTGTCAATCACCCAAACACCTCCATGTACACCTCCATGTACAGCTCCATGTACACATCCTCCATGTACACCCAAACACCTACAAGTACACCCATACATGTACACACGACACACGTGTTTACATTTCACATGACATATCATTCACACAACACCATGTGTCATATTACAGAGTCAACATGTCATCTACATCTATTACCAGAGAATAAATGCAGATGAATGAAGAGATCCAAGAAATATACCAATACAATGTGTAAAAGGTAAAACCTGGTTGTGCAGATCTGTGGGAAAGGAGAGAAAACGTGATGGCTTCAGAATTGGATGAGCCTCATCTTCATCCAGTTTCATGGTGGAGGCCCATACAGAATATTCTGTGCTGTTAAGAAAACCATTGGATACAGAAGTGGCCTGTTGGACTGAAGTAAAAGAAAATTAATAAAACACTGGCATGGTTGGTTTCTTTGTAAGCACCTAAAGCACATAAGCTCTTAATATAAAAATAGTAGTATGGTAATATCAGTATATTAGCCTTGATCCAAAAGGTACTAACTCAGACTGTAAGGATGAATGAGTGAAGTCCTTCCATCCGCAGTAGACCTCCGGCCTTTGGAGCGTCTGCTGCTCTCACGGGGCTCAAACTGCCCACACATGATGTGCATCTTGTGGAGAATTGGGTTCACTCCATCAGGCAGCATGCGAGGACTGTGTGGGTACATGCTGAAGCCGTTGTGGTTACTGGTGATAGACTTGTATATACTGCGCTTGTTGCTTTGGCTCTGATTGTAGGTCTAAGAATTGCACATTTATATTATTCATTTGACATTAGTGATATCAGACATTCATGATTGTGTTGAAAATGTAGTTTGAACTCTTGGCTCAGAACTTACTTTCTCTTCGCGACCCTCTGCCAGAATCACAACGATGCGCCCCTGACGTTTGCGCCCAGTTCGTCCCATTCGCTGCACAAGGCGAATGGGATTCTTCTGCGCATCAAAGCACACAATAAGATCCACTTCTCCAATGTCCAGACCTTCTTCCCCAACACAAGTTGACACTAGAGTGTTGAATCCCCCTTGTCGAAACCTTTGTACTACCTGGAACATATTTCAATACATTTATGGTTGATTTCAAAACAATGTATGTAAAGGCAACACAGTGTGTAGGATTTACTAAAACAGGTGTAATGCAAACTGATACCATGTATGCCATTTGTCAGTTGGAGGTTATTTATCACAGGAAGCTGTGTGCATAATTGCTGCATCAAATATTTACATAGTGAACAAGTACAAACAAGACTGACAGAGGGTACATGCCAGTAAAAATCAGATAACTAGAACCAAATAATTAGATTTAAAGATTGGTGTGTGTTTTTTGTCTGTCAAAAAGACATTTGTCCATCTAAAACAACCGGTGACATGTGTCAGTTAATCAATAGGTTATATTTGTGAGACAAAGTACAAAGAATGTTAAAATGACTCAAAATAACTTTGATCTTTAACATTTTCTCTTTCATTTTTGTTTTTGCCACATTATTGTAGGGCAGTTCAACTTCTGTTCTGTACTAAGTACAGCCACTGCTGGCTCTGTCCTTGTTATTTTAGCCTACATCAGAAGTATAACACTCCTTACAACAGAAGCAAAGCCAGACTGAACTTCTTTAGACTGGAACGGACAACACTCTCAGTGTCTTGAGGATTCATGCCTTCAGGTAGTGGGTCGGTAATGATGGTAAATAAACCTCTCCTGTGTTAGAACTCCAGTGTCAAACCTCTTTTCTTCAACTCTTGAGTTCATACAGTTTATTTTACAGCAAATTTGTTCTTGTTGTTACAGAAATCAGATAATCATCCTTTTTTTTTTTTAAACATAGTCATAGTGTCTCTCTGCTACTGTTGCTAATAGTGCTGCTAGGGCTGGCAATATGGGAAAATGCACCACATTTTTCTGACTCATACTGGTTCAAATTCAAATAAATATTGCTTTAAAAATTACAAGCATGGGGAAGGGGGGGTGAACTTTGCCTCAAATAATGCTTTTATTCAAATTCATGCTTTTACAGAGAGAAGATTGGCTGAAGATATAATGGTTTATACTAGTGTGTACCTCAAGCTGTTCTTTTTGAGTGAATCCTTTGACGCCCTTCCCGGCTGAAGCTTGGCCCATAAAAGTCATGACTCGGATAAGAGGACCGTGACAGTTCAACATGGAAGCTATCTCCTGCACACTTTCACGGAATGACGAAAAGATCATCACACGTGTGCTTACCGTTTCAGCCAGACCTGTAGGAGAGGAGAAGCAGGCAGTATTGTATCAATCATTGTGTATCATTGTGTGTCACTGTGTCAGTTACCTGTTGGCCACTGCTTGAAGTGTTGAAGCACCACTTCTTCCAGTTTCTGGAGCTTGGGGTGACTGTAGACAAATGGTTCTTCTGGACCTACAATTGAGAGCATAAAGAGAAAGTCAGCAAAAAATATTTGCAGATTAGTACGGTCATTTTAAGCAGGTAAATGCAGTACCAGCTAGTGACTTCATGAACATGACTTCCATCTCTTGGTAGAGGTCCATAAAAGTGGGAGTTCTCTGCAGTTCATTTCTGGCCCTGGACATTTCTGTGAAAAGACAAATGTTGGATTTAAATGTAATGTGGGGGTTGGTTAGAGTAGGGTTTTTTTCATTGTACAAGTAATCATCACAAGGTGGAGTGCTGACCTCGAGAGCCGTCCATGATGCCCTGCACATAGAAGAACAGAGACCTGAGGCCCATCTGCATCAGCAGCTCGTAGCCATGATACAGGCTGATGCACAGGGCAAAGTCTCCCTCCAGCATCCCCTGCTGTGGACCCTGTGGGAGAGCAGGGTAGAGGCACAAAGAAGGAGCATAAGAATTAATTTCAAGGCAAAAAGAAGTGATTTCATGCAAACATGTCTATAATAATTTTAAAGAAAGATATGATTAGGGAAAGTCTGAAGAAAGGTTCAATGGACCCACAAAGAAAGTAACTTTGACTCTCTTCACTATAAAGAAGTGCCTGGGACCCATCAAGAAATAGATTTATACGTAGTATGAATGAATGTACTTCATTATAAGAATACAGTAATTAAAAAGCAAATATATTGTTTCTTTGAGAAATAAAGTATACAATGTGTACAGTACTGGAGTACAAGTGGTAGGAAGGGCATCTGATATAAAAACCTGTCAAACCAAACCATGCACTGTCTATTTACATTTGCTGTGCCAATTACAAAAAGGGAGCTATGAATGCACTTATCACAAAGTTTTCATGCCTTGATGTTCGGAGGTGGGTTTTTCCGGAACTGATCTCTGGCCAGGATGAGCTGGTACTTGCTAAGTGTGCGCAGATCTTTATGTCCCATCACCCGGTTCTGAACCAGGCGAGACATAAACTTCTCCAGCACCTGTAAAAAACAGCACAAATATCACAAGTAGGTCAGTGGTAATAGGCCAGTTCCTGGGAAATCGGTAACACTCCAGTTTCACAAAGTGTGTGGTCTGAACAGCAGACCTACTTTAAGAGCACACATAATGACAGACTAATAGCGGACCCATCTTCCTGGTCTGCTTTCAGAGTAATTGGGAGTGAAATAGAAGTAGTTTGTCAAATAGACAATCTAAGCCCAATGCTTTTATCCCAGAGCTCACAGTTGAAGGGATGGGACTATTTGGTTGGCACTGCATTATTGTGAAGCAGCTGCTCTACACAGAATAATAACAAGGGGGAGGTCACCTACAGATGAGGAAGAACAATGACGAGTTGCACTGTTTTATATATTATGACAAGAGAACTAGGACACCAAATATGACCTATTAATATGACAGCCAAGAGTTCAATAAGAGAGTAAAATAAACAAAAAATATTGTTTCAAATTGGAAAGTTATAACAGAGAAAAATATATATGTAACCATAATTGAACTTTTAATATGTTGGATAATGGGCTTAGTGAATACAAGTGTGAAGTCCTGTGTCCTATGTGAAGAAAAACCTTATAAAATATCAGTATTCTGCACTGGCAAAAGAATGAGTTGAATAACATCTGTTAATTCCCTGCCCTTTTGAAACATGACCATAGCCTTTAATGGCCTTTAGAGCCAGAACAAGGCGGTCATGGGCACATCACACATAACCAGGTGATATCACATAGAAAACACTTCTGAACATATCAGAAAATAACATTCTGCATTATGGGTTTGGAAATGTAAATCTGTCAAAATATTGCATAATACAATAATTTTTAATGAAACTTAACCAGGTAAAAAAAAAAACATGATGAAGGCATACTGATAGAGAATGTATAAATTGTGTTCATTCTTCCAAAAATCTTTATAATAAAACCTGTTTTTATTATAAAGAGTTGTTAAAGTCTATTACAGATCATGACTGTTTCAGATGATTTAACAATAACTAATAACGATTATTTGGATTAATCATTGCAGCCTCACTGTGCATGCAGTCCAGTAAGGCTCTGGATGGAGATCCATACCATTATTTAAAACGAATGATAAATGGATGTACAGTATGTATTAGCACATAGCACATTTGCACATTTCTCAGGTGAGACCATCACTGTAAGAGTCTTGTGCCCGTGTTAATCGTGCTGTGTGTGCTCTGTGAGCTCTGCTTGTTAGCAGCACATGAATGAGTGTGTGCACAGCCAATCTAGTGTTCCCAGATTTCCCACCATTGGCCCCGCCCTTTATGGGATTACAAATTCTCTGCTCAAACCAGTGGCTCTTAATGGGCTTGACCAGGTCAGTGTCTGTTAATCCAGCACTGCCTTGCTCTGCTCTTGAAAATGTTGGTTCGCAGACATGGCATGTATCTGGACGCACAACTTAACTCAGACACATGTATTTGCTAAATAACAGAATGCACACTTAACTATGACTCTGTAGTTCATCTCATTTGAATCGAATTGGGATCCAATCATTTTAGACCGATGCATCTTGGGTATTGGCAATCTTTATATATTTATACAAATCATAGTAAAACATATTCATGTGTTTTTACAAAGAAAATAAATCTTTTTGTAAATCATTATCAGTTAATAGGAAGGTGTATTATTTGAGCATGGAGTGGTTGTCTTGCAGACACTAGTTACTATCACCAAATTAAAGACATTCTGTTGTGCCTATAATAAGATTACTAAACTAATACCATTAATCACAATGCTAGACATCTTCTCAGAATAAACTGTACAGGATGCACTCTGATGATCATTGTTTTGGCGTGCATGTCAGACGTGCAGGTATGCGCTCAAGGCGCTTTCACACCTTTCACATCACACACAAAATGTACCACATATTTTTCCAGGTGACAAGGGCCACATTTTAATTAAAAGTTTTTGAGGTGAGAACACTTACACAATTGTACCATGCCATGCATTTCAGAAAAAACAACAAAAATATGAAAAGCTGCCTTGATAACAGAGTCTTAACTTAACTATTACTATTATTCAATACTATTTAAAAGGACTCTAAAAGAAGGCATCTATGATCACTTCTGAAGGCAAATGGTCATAACTCATGATATATTGTGATTCATATAAAGGGACCACAACAGCAGTGGAAAGTGCAGCCGCACAGAGCATGTGCAGTCAAACTCCAGCTATGATTGGTCAACTGGCTGAGAGCAAGTGACTCAGTGAACAAAACACTGTGATGGGAGCTATTAATAAAAAGTGCAAAGAGTGCTAAACTAAAGAACATCTACCAGGATGCACCATAACCAACAACATGCCTCAGAGCTGTTGACGTGTTTTAAGTAAATGTTTTTATTTTAGAATCTAAAGATTATGGAGATGAGGCATGGGACCTCTTAGGTGGATGGGTGCTAGAAAAAATACCAACAGGGGCCTATTAAATTCATCTCCCAGCTAAGCATCATTGTATGTGGGCTTAAAACACGCCATGCCCACCCGCACACTCTGTATTATGGAGGATTATATAATGCGTTCACGATGGTACGTGCCGGCTAAAGTCTGCAACATGGTGTCTGTGGCAGAAGGAGAGCTGACAGGAAATTTAGACAAAACATCGAGTTTATCTTCCTGCAATCCAGAGGCAGAAGTATTTACAAAAACAAAACAAAAAAACATTGCGAATTCAATCATTACTTGAGGGTTTTTATACATTATACTGTTCTGTTTAAACTTGTGGGCTGAATCTTCAGTTTACTGTAAACTGCACTTAAGTGCACACATAAATTATTCAATATAACCCACAATAAAAGTACTTTGAGAAAGTGCTGCGATTACAAAAAATTATACAAAATATATTTAGCATTTTATGCAAGACTTTGCTGATACTAAAATAAACATTATTTTGTGACAAATGATAGCTTACTCAAAAAGCAGTTTAATAGGTCTAAGTGAAAAGAGATAAATCCACTATACATTTTATTTGAATATGCTCCTGTACTATGCAAGAATTAATAACTTGCTCCATTATAGAACTGTTATCACACAAAAATACTATGTTATTAGGAAACCTATGAGCAACAAATTAAAATGTTTGAACATTACGATAAAAAGTTGTAAACAAATGGTCGCGTAGATGGGAAGAGAGGACTTTCGCCAAAACCAAGCCTGTACCATCGGCCTATAAGCACTTATACCTATTGGCGTTTGTGTCTCTGGTCAGTACATTGTTGGTCAGCAGGCTGCATGGGTCGTCAGTAGATGGTGAAGCGCATAGCGCAGGGTCGAGGGAGGGGGGCCCATATTTATCCGCTCACAGAAGGAGAGGGCCCCGCAGCGTCACGTGGTCCGCCCTCGCCTGCTATAAACACCGCGTGCGCCTCCTGGTAAAGCAGGCGAAACGTCACGCCGCACAGCTCAACAGACACACGCACATCCTTCGGTTTTACTTGAATAGATCAAACGCGAGGACTTCATTACACTGTGCTCAATGCACGGATATGCGTAAAAAGAACAAATCCCACGGAGAAGCCAAGATAACCAAGTTTTTTTCTTCAGAAAAGATAGATTTTCCTAATGTGGAAAACATCGCAGCGATCGAGGTCGGGAGGAAAACAGCTTAGCTAGGTACAGTAGGAACTACCATTCGCCCACTGTCGCCAGCTCGTTGTACCGTCGTGTGCGTTAAAACACTTGAGGTAAAGATTGTAGAAGCTTTACGAAGTAAACATGGACCGGGGAGGCTGTCAGATGAACGGTGGCGGCGGAGGGGACAGTATTGGGCCCGACCGGCACGGAATGATCACGCTGGAAGACCTAGAGTCATTCACCGAGGATCAGCTGTCAGACTCCGGCAACGGGAGTCTGGAAGAAGGCGAAACCATGGAGGAAGAAGAGGACCAGGACCGTCTGCTGCACTACTGGCAAGACGTGGCCCGAGGACACCAAGTGGACGTTCCTGAAGGTACCCACTGCCCAGATTGCACACTTTCAATGTGAAAGATCAAAGTGTTTCTGTACCTAAATATCCTAAAAAGTTGTGCGAAAGTATTTATTCCTACTAAAGTCCCTGCAGGCATGTCGCCATGCACTGTGACCTAGTTTGAACACAGAAAACCAGTTTGAGCCAGGCGCTCGCGTTAGGCCGCAGACCCTCCACAGTTCAGCTTCGGGGATCACGCTTCATCTGCACAGACAGAGACATAAAACTACTGCCCAGAGTAGCCCAGCGCGTTTTGGTCATTGAATCCCTGACTTTCTGTCTAGTTAATGATTATAACTATATACAGAAAGTTGCATTTTGAGCCAGAACGACTTAATTAAGTGATATTTTTATATATCAATAACATTTATATTATTCATATTAATAATATGAATATATACAAAATATAATGCATCATATATATTACTATCATATAAAACCAGAAAGTAATGGCCTCCAAGATATGTGTTTTGTGTGTAAATTAATTAAAGTCACAGTACCCAGCATGTGTTGCCTCCTCTGAGTCTAATGTTGCACAACACAGGTCTCAAGACAACAATCTGAGACAATCTGACCAAAACAAAGTCTGTTCGTAATGAGTCCACTGTGAGCACTGGCTCCATTTACAATCACTATCTGACTACTGCTCATTTGTAGTAAGTTAATATTCTAACTTAATAGTTTATTATCTGTGTATCCAATGTAAAATTTCTAGTTGTAGTTTCAGTTGGTAGTGACTTGGATTAGTTGTATTGTGCACATGTGTGATCTATTTGCAGTGTGGAATGTGAATGGGTCACACGAGGCTCCTTCCTTTTTAAAAAATATGAACGTGTGTCTCTGATTTGTCATGACATGGCCAGCCCTTAGAGGAAAATTACCCCATAAGTTATAAAGGCCACATAGTCCAGTCCCTTCATATTTTAGTTGGTATGAGCTGTCAAGCTTTCTCAGTCTTTTTCACGTAAACTGAGTGCAACATTTAAATTGCATTAAATTTACCAGACATTGCTCCACACGAGAATGCTTAGACTTTTCAACCACATTTTAAACCACAATGGCAAACTGGTTTTATTTAGTTTCCAGGGGGGGTTACCAATCTTTGCAACAGAGCTGGAGGTGCCTTTTTATGTTTACAGGATGTTTACAGGACAGTCTGACTTGAGGAAATTGTGTTTGAAAACATTTTTTTTCCACCGGATGGGTAATGTCTAGCTAAGAGAAGTATGGGCCAGAAGCATGTTTCCAAATTACACTGTTGTGGTGTTTACAGTTTATCTACGAATTTCATAAAAAATATTTGTATTTATCAACTAACTAATCAAAAACTAGAGTGAAATTAAAGACTTGCTGGAGCTTTTTGCCTTTGTAAGGTTTAGAAGGTGAACCTAACCTCATATTGTTTTTGTAATACACCAAGCCAGCACTGCAAATGTACTGATTGCACATATTTGACACATTTTGAAGATATGCTTTTGTGTCAGACAGATTATTCCTATTGCTATTACAGCGCAGTGGTTATGATTTCCTTGTTTTGAATGCAGAGACAAACACGCATACACAAACCATAAAACACTACGTGAATCCCTGAGGTTTACCAATGAACAATATAAGGCATTTTGTCGTTTTCATTTTTTCCTATGTGACATTCATTTAAATACTATTGCCATCTACGTAAGTGCATGCAGTTCTACACAGGGCCTTGGATAGCTCAGTCACTTCTAATAACTATTACTCTGTGGGACATCCTGGCACTGAACAGACCCATCTGGCACCACAACTCAGCCCCTCACTGCCAGCAGATTAATGTGAGCAGATAGCATGTGCATGAAATCACTCAGGACATAAAGGCGGTCTTAAACTGTATGTGTTTCTTGGAATTAAAGTTCAGTGGCAACGTGAACATTGTTTTGTGTTGTTTGTTTGTGGACAGATATGGCCGAGCCCATTCAGCAGCTGACTTCCAACAACGACGGTCGCAGCAGCAGGGAGCATGTGCCATTTACTCTCCTCACCCGCAAAGAGAAGGTACGCACTCCCATCTGCTCTTTCACAACTGGACACGTTCTGCATTGTGCTTATCTTCAGTGATAATGGAAAGCTATGAAAGCACTTGATGGTGTATCTCAAGCCAATTTCAAAATATTTTTATAATGTGTAAGGAATTTCATTTTTTCAGTCAGCACAGAGCAAAAGAGGAGAAATAAAAGTCCATCAGGTCATAAAGTCTGGTGAAACTTCTTCACATAAATAAAAAAGGTGTAAGCATGTTATATTTAAATGGACATCTCTAGGACTTGTGGGTATGTGGATCAAAGAGAGATGATTTCACAACACAAAAATCACTTTCATCCTCATGGGCCCATATATAGAACAAGGGTTAATTGGTTTACCTTGATTTAATTGGTTCATTACATCCTGATTGGGACTGTAGTTAAACTAAGAACACTATGACACCCTATTCTTAGAACAGTGAGTAGTTTTAAATAGAAAACATATGGTTGGCCAGCATAACCTAAAAAGAGCATAGATTTCGAGAAGCCCTACAGCTGACCTGGAAAGTGCTGTTTTTTCCATATCTGGTACAAGATTTCCACACTTCATACAGCCAAGCCTACCCATAATCCACATTGGATGTTGAAACCGTTCTAAGAATGTGTCAATAATGCACCAATAACACTTAAAATAAAATAGTCATAAATAGTAATAGACACACAGTGACAGAAGACTGTTTAATAAGCTCAAAATCCAACAATGGAACAGTCCGTTTACTTTCTTTCTTTTTTTTTTAAGTGTGGGGAGGTGTTGTATGAGAAGCGGCATTATGAAAAGGGCCACTGGGCTTGTATTACAATGCGAGAGGACACTTATGAACAGAGCATCTGCTATGGATTTATGAGGATCATGAGATACATCTGCGAGCAGAACTCATTGGGTAAGCCAATCATATGCATGATCTTATCTTGGAGAAGTAGTATCTTATGGAAGGTTGTTGTTTTTTTTACAGGTAACTATCTGGGCATGTCCCTGCCTATTGTGACAGTGGTTCGCACAGATGAGAGCCGCTCAGTCTTCTCTCATGAAGTTACTGTGGCCTACTACCTTCCTGCAGTGCACCAGGCCCAGCCTCCTCAACCCTATGACAGTGACATCTCCATCGAGATCTGGCCTGCTACTATTGTATATACACGGTCAGTAGATAATAACATGCCAGTTACATGTCATCATTACAAACTTTCTTGTTTCAATTACCCTAATTTACAGACTACTGAGTACACCTGAATATAAGCCACATCAACAAAATTTGAAGAGAAAAAAACCTTTGTACATATATAGACTGCACTTGTCTATAAGCCACAGGTGTCCAAGTTGTAACTTGAGATATTTACATAGAAAGATGGTACACAAAAAATGTTTTTATATTTTTAATTAAGTACCGGTACATGCTTTTTCCGAACAGTGCCTGTAACACGGCAGTAAAACGACAGTAAAATGGCCAGCCTGTAGCCTGAGAAGGGTGTGTGCATGAAACGCAAATTAACTGGTCAACACAATCAAACTAGCATCTTCCTCGACGCATCATCTCTTCCACCTGTCTGTCTCACTCTTGCACCCCCCTGGAGGCCTTCTATCTATAGAGGGATTATCAGACTACGTAACTTCACACTCCACTGTGCACGTGTCCTGCAGAAAGAGCCGCTGTCCTGTCTGGTATCATGTCAGACTCTTGTAGGATTTCAGCAGATTTCAGGCTCTCTTGAGGGCTAGGCTAGTTGTATCAATCAGGTATGAGCAGATGTCCGGCTACTGAAGTTTGAGACATTATTCTCGTCATTTATGCACACACCTGCATTTAACACATATTAAGACGTATCCCACTCACTAATGTTAATTTAGCACCATAACTAATTTTATCACACGGTGATAAACTGTTTTAGTGCGCTGACAACATTGCTAGCTAGTGTTGTGTCTTCATGTTAACCACACAGGCAGCAGCACTTTTTGCACTCAGGCTGCGTGCGCATCCACTGTGTTGATAAACAAATAATATGTCTATAAATTAGCCACATCATTGTTTAAGCCGCAAGGTTCAAAGTGTGTGAAAAAAGTAGAGGCTTATAGTCCGAAAATTACAGTAAATGTAAATTCAGAAAAATGCAACTTATTCATTTAACAACTATTTCAATGCCTTTCTTGCACATATTTCCAGGCCTTTTACTGGTCCAACTAATGAAGTGACCATCATGAATCAGATTAACACCCTGGCAGAGCTGCTCGACTCTCCCAACATGTGTGTTAATGATTCATTCATCGTAGCTGGCTACACAAACCCAGCCCACAGCCACCGGCAGAACGAGATCTGGTTTTTGGAGCGACGCTGAGGACCATCCTTTATCTGACCTGTCAGAAGAATTAGACTGCCTCTGTCGGCACTTTTCTTTGGGAGACCACCAAAATGACTGACAACAACCTGGGCATTACATGGGGCATATTGGAAGAGAACCGTTGTTCTAACCTCAGTGAGTTCTTGTCCACTTTTGAACTGATCCTTCACTCCAAGTCACTGCCATGCCCTGGTTGGCCTGAGAAGAAGTACAGGGCATCTGAGGATCTGTGGGGTGCCTGAGTGCATTACTGTTTATCGGACGCACACATGCCCTGAGACTTTGTAATGTGCCACAACATAAGCACTTTGTGAGGCCAGGTCTGCCTGTTCTGGACGTTTTGTTTCAAGTACCAGGATATTCATGTTATGCTAAACACTGCTATAGGATGTGTAGTTAGTGCAATAGATGTCAGACAAAACAATGCACTTGAGTAGTATAACCTCAAATCTCACTGCTACCTGAAATAACTCTGGTTGCACCATGAATAAGCTTAAAGTTCAGGACACTAGGAAAGCCACACATCATGTGTAGAGTTGAATGTACAGGGTAAATACAGATCTCTTACAAACCAAACCTGTTACTATTACCATACTACTGCTGGATGACAATCATGTCTTACTCATCATGTTTTCTCTCAGACGAGTTCAATGCATTCCATATGTCATAGACATATTACCTTTGTACCTCTCTCCTCATGTCTGTTCCACAATTGTAAGTCTGTTTGCCCTCACTACTGTACTGCAAATGCCACTGCTGCTGATGAAACTAGAAAAGACAAGTGCACAGAGAATATCTACTGTGATAAATGATGTTTATGTTTAAATAGACTATACAGTTTATAGCTATTAGATTTTTTATTTTGTATCAGAATCTAAGGTGTGAGTTGTATGTTCATTTTTTTTTCTTTTGCAAATGAACCAATGCAACACTGCAGTGTTACACCAGCTATATTCACTGAATTATATTCTTTTCTACAGAAAGTCATGGGTTATTTGCTTTGGCACCACAAAATATGCAAGCTGTATTAACTGGACATGAAGTAGCCAAATCAACACTGTGAGGATCAGGGAGCAAGCCTCTTAAAATGTCTGTTTTTAAAAAAGGTATATTATATTGAAGACTATTGTTGAAAGTAACTATTTTCTGTCAGAAAGTACAAAGGAGGAATTGTGTAGTGCTGGTGTCTGTGTCCTTTCAACAGTTAAAAGTAGTGGTTTTATAGTGAGCGATTCGCATCCAAAGAGTTTGTCAGCATTGAGTGACTTGTACAGAGTTTAATATAAACAATAAGCCATGAAGGATTTGAATATTTTAGTTCCCTTTAACAGGATGAAACAAACCAATTATGATTTTCTTCTCTGCTTATTTGAGTGTTTTGCAAAAGTGTGCTGTACTGTGAATATGCAAGTGCAACAGCAGCGGCTACTGTGGTTATCTGGTTTCAATAAATTGTGCTTTTCTTCTATCCTGTCATACTGCAATGTTGGCTGGTTTTACAGTAAGACAGCTGTATTAGGACTACATCAGTTCTAACATGTCCCAAAACTGAATACACCACCACACACGAAAGGTAAACAAATAGGCGAAACTTCAGCGAAACAAGTCAAATCAGGTCGAGCCAAAACACACAACACTACCCTGGACATGTTCCAAAGAAACTATAACTGATAAAACCATTTGGGAACTGTGTCACTGAAGTGTTATAATATGAAAAATCTCATGTGTACATACCTTCATATTCATATGTAAAGAGGAGGCTATATATAAACCCCTTAACAACAGACCCTGAAAAATTCAAATGTGAATTTTACATCTGATTATAATTTTCTAATTCTAAATAGAAATATTTGTGGTCTCGGTAATATTACTCCATGTCTTTAACTAGATTAAGACATCATCGACATGTGTACTACTATAGTCAAGACTGTAACATACCTGTAAGTATCGTGTTTGATAAGCAGAGAGGGTCTCTCCTAGTGGGACCACCATTTTCTCCACACTTCGCTGATGAGAATGGGCCTGGATGTCAGGGCTCTCCTCTGAGCGAAGCTCAATATGAGATATGAGCAAGTTGGAGATGACAGACTGCACAGACTGGCAAGAAAAAGAACAAAATAATAAATTATTTTTAAAGTCAGAGTTCTCCAAAGCTATGATTTTTCATAGCAAAGCAGGAACTGTTGTGCCCTCAAATTGATGTGCAAAACAGGAAAAAGTAATGTGACTAAAACCAATGAATATGCAACAAATATTGTAATTTTCTTTTTAAGAGCCACGTATTCTATATGTTCTAAAATGCTAAAAATCAGAGGAAAACGAAGTGTGTCATTTCATTCTACAAACAAAAACAGTAATCAGTAAATGATTGACTGGTACACTGACCTTTGTGTCTCCGCCTGGAGTGGCACTCAGAGCCAAAATCCGGAAATGTTTAGTCTGACTGCCAAGCTGCCGAATTACCTGAGAAACATATCAAGTGAGAAGAGAGCTGAAAAAAATACTTTTGTATTTCTTATTTATAAAGGTGAGGCAGCAGTAGATATCTCAAAAGTGGCACAACACTGCCACCTAAAGGTTGCTCTAAAACAAGAGTGAATTACTAGTACCGGTATATCTACATGAAAATACACCGTACACAGGTTTAGTGAAGTTTGTAGCTCGCGGTAACATGACCATTATTACGGAATGATTAAATAATTATAATAATAATAATAATTATCATCATCATCAGGCCTTATCTTCTTCTTTTTTCTGTTTTTATAACAGCTCTATATAGCATGAACATTGAATTAAAACAAAAACAGGGGCATAATATGGAATGAAAGTGATTTTGTGTTGCCCACCAATCTCATTAACAATCTTGTTCAAAAGGTAAACTTGGTGAATCAGAAGCAGTGTACCTGACAGTAGGCATGGTTTCCCAGAGCTTTGTGGGCCTCGTCTATTACAACACACTTGACGTGCTGAGCTGGACATGTGTCTCTGGACAGGTCGTTCACCATGACCTGAGGAGTGAGGAAGAACACTCGTTTGGCTCTCCACACCTCCTGCCTCTGCTTTGCTGCTGTGCTGCCTGTGGAGTTATTATACTGTTATTAACAGAAAAGAAAAAGTAAGTCATATGGTTAAGTCCTTCTGAGATGCATTACCTGTCAGCTCTGCCATGTGGGCCTGTGGTATTCCCATGACTTTATAACATGCTTCAATCTGTTGTGCCACCAGAGGTTTGGTGGGAGCCATGAAAACAATCTTTCCTGATGGATACCAACGGTAGAAGTTGTACATGACTACAGAAGCAATAAAGGTCTTTCCTAACCCGGTTGGGAGGCAAACCAGTGTGTTCTGAAAGAGGGCAGCCTCTGACATCTTCAGCTGGTACTCCCTGATGGGGTAGTTTGTAGGGTAAATCCATACTTTGGCTGATGAGCTGTCAAAGCCGGGGAAGTCAGGATAACTCTCTCCACAAGGGGAAGTGAGAGGCAGTGCACTAGACTCTGGTCCTATGGGATTGTCATCTGTTCTAAAGTGCGGATTATTAAATTGCAACGTCTTTTCTGCTTCGTGCACAGCTACCACTATCAGATCATCGTCGTCATCTTCCTCAAAGCCAAAAGCAGCAGGAGATTCGCCCGCACTCACTGGTCCTTCTGTGCTGTAGGAGGATCCGTGCCCTATTTCACCAAAAAGTGAACATCTTGGAGCAGGTCTTGGAGCGGTGGCCTGGGAGATGTTGCTGCTGCTTGGAGTCGTCTTGCGCCGGGCTGCGGCTTTTTTACCATCCTTTTTAGGCGGAACCACTTTGTTTTTAGACACGACAGTGCCCCAAGCTTGAAACAGAGTCCTCTGGTTTGCAACATTACTCATCTTCAGAAAGTATTATTGAAAACTTATTACGAAAAACGTCCATGTGATAAATGGCTCCATTTCAAACAAAACACACATGAAAGGCATTTCCGCTGGCGTCTTTTCTAAATAAAAGTAATTATTACTTAACCTGTTAAGTAAGTGTGGTTCTGAGTACGCATTATATCAACATGGGACAGAATGGATGTTCTGTGGTCTGTTTACTCGACTTTATAGTGTCATCCTTTTAAAATCAGAAGATATGCACACAAATTGATCATTTTGAGTTTTAGTTTTTGAGTTTGAACCGGAACAATATCAAAAGTTTGAGTTCAGCTCCCGCTCTCTGTGAGCCCGAGGATCTACGCTAGCGCTGTCATTTCTCCATAGAGATGGACAGGGGGAACCTGGAGAGGACAATCACACATTTTCAGGTAATTTTCTCTATTTAGTTGTTTGTCAAAATGAATAATGACTTACCGCGTGACCACTTGAAAATATATTCCCAGTAACTGCCATTTTGTAAAGTGATTTTCCTCCTTTTGAAGCCCATAAATTGTCACGGCGTCCACTGTCCAGTTTCCTCCGTAGACCGTGTATATAGTTTCCTTATACAGTCTATGTATTTACTTTTTACTTTTTTAATTTTTACTCTCCCACAGGCGCGTGCACGAGGATACCTGCTGAGGGCCGAGGTGCACCGTGCACGAGAGGATTATGAAGAGATTGTAAAGGAAATTGATGGAGATTTACACTGTTTGAAATGGATCAAGAGAGCTCTGTATTTCCCCTACTTTACAGACACTGTAAGAATCACTCATTTGATTTACTTTTTATTATGAAAAAGTTTGTTTTCCTTGTCCTATAAAAGTAAAATTGAGACCCTGCACAGTCATCTTGCCAAATTAAAATTTAAGGGTAATCTAGACTACATTACTAACAAATAATGCCCCAAAAAACCGCCTGTATTCAGTAAGGTAAGGTAGAAGTTGGAAGTTGATATACTAGGGATGCAACTATACTCATTATAATGAATAATTCATTAAGCCAGTGCAATACTTTACATTTGCAGTGCATTAATTTTGCCATACTTTGACAGATACTACATAAGAAAACATCTTTATAAAGGCCTGACTGCTGTATCTGAATACTGAATAGATTTTAATAAAGTAAAATGTTATATACAATATATAGAGGAAACTTGTTTATGTTTCTCTGAGACCCATGTATTGAGATCTGTGTCAAATCATGAGAAAACTGTATTCTTACATGCCTTAAAATACACTGGTTTTGTTTATCTTAATTAGATGTTGTATCAAGTCATGAAACAATACAAACTTCATTCTGTGTGCAGTTTCTCTAACATGTTTTCTCTGCCTATTCACAGCCCAGCGCTATTTCCCCATACAACTTTGAAAACATTAAATCAGAGACCATTAATCAAAGGAAATGTTCGAGTCCAGTAGAATGTAGTTCAAACAGAGATGTAGAAGATGGCGCTGGTCATTCAGAGAAGATGGAAGCAGAAAGAGACATTTCCCAAATCATCACCTCTGCTCCTGAACCCAGAGACGGCTTTTCCACCAGTGCTCAGAACGCAAACACGCAAACAGGAGGAGAACATCCCGTGAGAAAGAAGGATGAAGGTGGGATGGAGAGTGCCTGTGACTCTACCACTGTCTGGAGCAGTGTAGATACTGACTCGGGCTCCAGTCGCTCAGTCAAACCAGGTAAGTGCAACCTTGTGCTTGAGACAAGTAGAGGTGAGCCAACATTAAATTTTTCACATTTATATACTAAGTTGTTGTGTTGAAGGTAGCTGAAATAAAACAAAATGTATACATACTAGGGGTGTAATAATAACCAAAATATTGTGATATCGTATCATCGAAAGTCTCAAAACAATATCGTGGACTATCACAATATATCGAATCACAAGGTCCTTCGCTTAAATGCATGGCTTTATAGTTGCAACTGCTTATGAACATCGGAAACTACATATCCCATGATTCATTTTAGTGCAGACAACATGAAAATATATGTTTTTTTACTTGAATTTTTAGGATTATGATGGAAATAGTTCACACCAAAATCTTGTCAAGGTGTTTTAAAAGCAAAAAAGTGTCCCATCTACAATTATATTAGCCTCTTCAAAATATCACAATAAATAACCCTAACCCATACCGTGAAATTTGAAGTAGTATTGGTGAAAAGAGCAAAGTTCAGATAAAAAAGATAAAACTTAAATATATTGAATTAATTCATTGTAACCCACTTGAAATAAGCTTTAGACTAATGCTCAAAACTTTTATCTGGGAAAAGGAAAGATCAAGATTTTCAGAGTTTGCACTGGGAGGATATTCTTATTATCAGAAGGACTATCCAGGTTTAAAAAAAAAAAGTAAAACTCTAATGAAAGCAGAGGATTGGCTATGTTCAATTTAAAAGTCTTGGTGAGGTCTCAGTAATCCAGGCAAGCTGTGGTTGTATTAGATTTTATGGCTGTGTTTAAGAACAATACATTTGAATTGTTTTACTAAATCATAAAACAGTAGTTAGGTAGATAATATAATGTCCTCTGCAAAGAACAGAATATCCTGATTCCATTAAGTAGCTATAAATCCTAAGTAACCTACCTACTAGACATGTAATTCTTTGTATTAGTTAACAGTTAATATTTCAGTATTCTCTATGTAGTGTTAATGCTGCTGGAAATAGAAAAATCACATAATTTGGGCTGAATTAGAAAAAAAATCATGTAGGAAAAAATAAACTTAAAAAATAATTGGTTTCTATTTTGTCATTGCCGTATTAACATAATTTTATCAGCACATTTTATTGTACAGATCAGATTGTGTTTAAAATGTTTGCACTAATTCTTACTTTACAACTTTAATTAGATTTTATTGGTTAAAGCCGCTATTCAGATGCCGCATGATTAATGTGATGCTTAATTCACCTTTACAAAGAGGAGTCACAAAGAAAGAAATAAGCATTTTATTGCATTCCTTGTGAAGCTACACAAATGATCCTTGGTGTGTAGTGTGTGGAGTGGACTTAACAAGCTCTCATGTCGAGAAGTGGCCTTATCAATCAGACTGGTTTTACTGTGTGCAGGTCTGCGCCAGTATTGCTTGGCCCGAGATGTTCCACGGACCCCAGAAGCCCTCCGTATCCATAGAAACACACTGTCCATGGAGCTCCTGTGGCTGCAGCAGGCCATCGACAGCAGGAAGAAGGTGAGGAGGAGAAATAGTGCTTCCTGTCCATAGCTTATTTGTGTCAAAATGTGTTATTCAGGTTAAGGGTCAGCGTTAGTAAGTACGCGATCCTTTTGCATAGAACAGAAGCTAGTATAAATATCCTCTTTCCTACAAATTGAGACAGATGAAAGTTACTTTTTTCATTAGTTTTAGGGCTGCACAATGTATAGCAAAAATATTGATATCACAGTATTGGCTATAGAGATGTTTTTTGCGATTAAAAACAATGCCATTACCATCAAATTGAAAATGACTTCTGGATTGAAGCTGAAACATTGATCTAAAAAACAGTGTCCAGATGACCACCATTGAAACTGTCTCTGTACTGAACCACTCCTGGACAGCTGATATTGTAGTAACACCAAGGTTCTCCAGCTAACAGATATGTAGTATGAACATGTTTAAATAAGGCTGATTTTTATGAATATTTTAAATGTTCGATATCAACATTCATTAGTCTTGTTTTAGCAGTTGTAACTTAAGGCATGTGCATTTTTAATATAACTATTTTTTAAAAGGTACATTCATTCATATTGCAGTAAAATCATTATTGCAATCCCAATTTTCTGTTCAAAGATAAAATAATAATCGCTTTCAGTATTGATTTAATCGACAGTCAGAGGACAGACTTTAATTATTGCCTTTAAAAATAGTCAAATTTGTTCCTCCAAAGCCTGAACTTGGTATCGCTGAAGACGTCTCCTTTAAAAAAAAAAAAAAAAAAAAAAAAAACAAGCTGATACATGAATGAATCTTGCTAAACATTGCTAAGCTCTATATATAATACTGAGGAGCTGAATGACCAGTCCACAAACACGAGTATTAGAATGTCCAATTGACAGCACCTTTTACGCTTAATGACTACCTCCCTTTAATTGCTTCTGTTTCTGATTCTTCCCCCAGTACCTGTCATTGAAGAATAAGCTGAGCGTTTCCTGACAGTAGCAGACCTAATGGAGTCTCCATATTCAAAACCTTTATTTATTCATATTCTGGAACAAAGCAATTAATGTATTTTACATGAGAATAAAGAAATGTATTTTTATAAGCACTCTCTCCTTAGTTGATTTGTTGCACTTAATGTAAATAGCCACTTTAGTTGGGCGATTACATGGACTGTACACTTAAGCGAGCCTGTGCGGTGACTTTCTGAAGCTCAAATTTCACTAATGAAAGAAACACCAGGCGAATAGTCTTACAAAAAACTCCATAGATAGTCCTGTTAATTAGCTGTTGTCATTCATCACTATTTATTCTACAAAGTATGCAAATGTAAAATTATTATTTTGTTATATTTTGGTTGGCTGTTTACATAATAACCAAATATATTCTTATATTTTTTCCTGCATAATTATCTACACAACCAAATATCTTAAGACAAAACATACAACAGGTCAGGTGGTTATCTTATTGATTCAGCTTAGCAACACACCGCTGCCCCTGCCTTTCCCGTGTCCGTGGCGGCTTTTGTTGTGGTTGCCGCCGATGGGTTGGCCCACAAAGCCAGTCATTGCTGTCCCCGCTGCCATGGCAACCAGGAAATACTCTGAGCCGTCAGCCGAGTGTGCACAGGAGCAGAACGTGGCGATTGGGAGTCCAGACGGATCAACACAACAGAACAACAGAAGAGACCTCTTTTCAGTTCAAGGATACTTTATTCCCACTCACCTGTAAGTCTTGGATCCAGTGTTATTCAGAGTGTGTGTGTGTGACAGAGAGAAAGAGAATTTTGAGCAAAAATGTGGTAATATTTAAATGTATACATTTTGAATAATAATTATTCTGTTGATTAGTATTTTCCTACTTTTTACATTTACTTTTTTACAATTTATTTATGTTTTTGTATTGTTTTCTTCTTTTCGTTGAAACATTTGTATGTTTTGTGTTTGTGTCTTTTTTGTTTTATTAATTTAACTACTATTAGGGTTGTCAAAAATATCAAACATGAGATTCTAACTGACACTTAAACTACTATCGAAACTAAATACTTATTTATATTGATACTAGGAATGTAACAACAATCGCAATATCATGATATCGTATCATCAAAGTTCTCACAATAATATCGTGGACCATCACAGTATATCGTATTACAAGTCTCTTTGCTTAAAGTAAGAGTTTTGGTGCAGCTATAGCTAAAAAAGACAGAGAGAACTACATAGACCAAGATCCTTTGCTCCATTTCAGTGCTGACTACAAGAAGAAATAACAGTTCTAAGCACTTTTAAGTCTTAGTTCTTTGGATTAAGTCTTGTCAAGAAATTTTAGGAGGAAAAAGTAGCATATTAACAGTTTTATTAACCTCCACAAAATATCGCAATAAATATTGTAGCGTGGGATGTATATCGTGAAAATATCAACACCGAGAGATTTGGATATTGTTACATTCCTAATCATGAGCCTCCTCACCATATCGTGAGCTTTCCCTTGATATCGCAATAAATATCGTACTGTGAGGTTCATACCATGACAATATTGTATTGTGAAACTTGGATATCATTACACCCCTAATTGATATTAAAAAGGTCACATCAATTAGACAGAAATGTGATATTTTAGTATCATGACAACACTACTTCCATTTCATGTTATCAATATATTTACAGTGTTTTACTCAACACTTGTTTCACCTTCTTGTAAACAGCTCCTTTGTGTGATGGCTGCCGGGACCGCCACCTCTCTCCTACCTCCAGTGAAGAGCGTGGTGGTCTACAAGAATGGAGACCCCTTCTATTGTGGCCGCAGGTTTGTGGTGAACCAGAGACAGGTGTCCACTATGGAGGCTTTCCTGACTGAGGTGACGCAGAGCATAGGGGCTCCTCTGGCTGTGAGGAACCTGTACACCCCCAGACAGGGCCACCGCGTCACAGAGCTGCAAGAACTACGCACGGGAGCGCAGTATGTGGCAGCAGGCTTCGAAAAGTTCAAGAAGCTAGAGTGAGTACAAGGAAATATATCTGATACCCTTGGACTGTACTGTATTATGAACCACAAAGCCATAAAATTTTTATGTGTTATTTTTTTCTCAATTATAAAACTCCACAGTTTACTTACAAGTTTTGGTTAAATTCCTAGATTTGACAGATTATACTCTTTCTCCTTGCATCGTTTGAATTTCTTTATTTATTATTGCTTTATTTTAATTCATGTTTGTATTTTTTTTGTTTGTTTGTTTGTTTTGTTTTGTTTTTTGTGGCCCTTTTTCAGTTATGTTAATGCTGGTATGAAGAAACAGCCAGCCACCCGTGAAGAGACCCAGGTAAGCATTTATTAATCCGAATCCAGAGTAATGAATGTCCAACTCACACCATTCAAATATTATTGTCATAGTGCTGTTGCATGTAAAACATTAAAGGATATTTCTGTGAACAACAAGCAACAAAACAAAAGACAAGTCAAGGGACATTGTTCGAAAATTGAAACTAGTTTATTGTTAGATGGTGCATGGTTAAACACTTTATATTTCAGTTTCACCTCATCATTTTACAGTAGGTGGTGTCTGAATATTGAGTTACTGCAGGTAACAGGTGCTTTTCTTGTTTTTTCTGTCTCCCTCTGCTGAGCTCAAGCCTTTTGTACAAAAGAGTAAAGAGATCTGGGAGACTGCCATTTGTAAAACCCATCTGCTACCATGTGTGTTTTCAGACTTTACATGCTTGTGTTGTGGTTACTGGGGAGCTATGCCAGTGTCTCCCTACATTGACTCTACAATACAAATGTTATAACAGGGAATACACTTGCATTAACGCCACAGATGCCATCATTCAAACTAAAATATTTGCATTCTATATTGGTATAATTTAACAAGATTAGTGCGCCTTGTATCAACGGATCTAGCCGCGTTATGTCAAGACTTTGATGATGTGAGTTTGCATTACAATGAGCCCTCAAATCAGACGCGCAGGTTGGATGTGTCTTCAGAAACGCCTCAAAGTGACATCCGTTTCCATGGCGTCAGCACTCAAGTGAACATAAGTGGAATGGTTTGACCCTGATTATACCTTATGCATAACCGAGTTTTCATAATATGTGTACAAGTGGGCTGCACACATATTCACTGGGTTGTATCCACCTTTATAATTTCTTATAATATTACACAGAATATATGGATGGGGTAACTCTTATTTTGTCTGTTAATTTTCTCATGGTTTAACGACAATATTTTATTCTAGAGTTTGCCTACTCCTGAAACACTCTAAGTCATTCTCATTACTTACAATTAAATGAGGGATTAAATATTCTGGGACCTTTAAATCTCTGCCCTTTAAAACTAATTAACATTAATGCTTTTTTCAGACTAAAGTCATTCAAAGGCCAAATGTCTCAGCCAAATGGAGGAAGTTCATTCCAATACCCTGCATTATACAGTAAGTTTACGCATACACTTACATTAAGCCCTAATTAGTGATATTATAAGTTATATATATTATATTATAGCTAGTTTTTGTTGTTTACTCTACTTGGCTTATTACATTTGAGCTTTAGCTGTGGTGGAAGTTAGTTAATTTTACATGGTGTTTTTCAATTAAGGTGTACTGTGTAACCTGCTTGTCTCCATAGAGATGTCATTGCTGTGCCTGAAAATTTCCGTAATATGGCATTAAACTATTTATTTTGGATTTAACCAATTACAAATTCTTGGTAACACTTTATTTTAGGGTACACTTATTAACGTCCAACTACCTGCTAATTAGCGTAGTTGTAGATGGTTAATTTGTCATTAATTAATATTTATTCAGCCCTTATTAATGTCTAATTCCCCATAAAATTATTCTGCTATTAGATAGACATTTACAAACACTTTCCTATTAATACACTCCTTATTACAGCATATTAATATGATACTAGACCATTTTTGTCCATGAATTGTTTTGTACAACTACCTATTCACGTATGAGCTATTAATATGTGTGTCACAATACATGAATTAAATGTGAAGAAGAGACCACTTTAGAATCTGGACCATATTTCATTTTAATTTGTGTCAAACTAATAAATTATTAAAACAAGCAAAACATCATGAATGGGGAACATATTCAGAGCTTAATGACTTAATTTACAGCTAGTTGGATTCTATTAACACAAGAGTAAGCAACATTTATGAAGTGCAAATAAGTAAAAACTACATTTCTTGTGCTACTACTCGCTTATTACCAAAAGCTTATTAGAATCGTAATTCATGAACAAAAATGGCTTAGTATTGTGCTAATATGCAGTAATAATGAGTATATAATTGTAATAGGAAAGTGTTTGTAAATGTTTAACTAATAGCAGAATAAACTTATAGGGAAATAGACATTAATTAGGGCTGAATAAATACTAAGTAATGACAAATAACCATCTACAACTTTGCTAATTAGCAGGTAGTTAGATGTTCATAAGTGTACCCTAAAATAAAGTGTTACCAAATTTTTTTCTTGCTAGAAATGCTTTAAAAAACATACACTCTTACTGTGAGCAGGGTCACTTCTCCATAGATCTGACCTGTCAAGCGGTGACACCTGCTTTGAGATTGATGCTGAATGTCATACTGAAACATTCCAGGCAAAGCAATAACATGACAAGTAAAAAGTTACATAGTGCACCTTAATATCATAACAGAATATCATCGTCATGTTTTTTAGTGTTTTCCGTAATGGAGATCTCCTGTGTCCACCGTTCCGCTTCATCATCCCTCGTAACATGCAGCAGGACTTGGAGCAGATTCTGAGTTTAGTCACAGACAAAGTTAGTCTACGGACCGGCGCTGTACGCAGGCAAGTGGGACAGAAGTAAAAATGTACAAAATACACCACTAAAATGGTAGAACATTGGACAGGAAGTGATTTATTGCTTCTTCCCCTTGTGATTCTTCAGGTTGTGCTCTCTTGAAGGAGTGCCCGTGTACTCTGCCTCTGAACTGGAGTCGGGCCACTCATACGTCGCTGTGGGAACGGAGAGGTTCAAGAAACTTCCATATGAGGAGCTGCTGGTCTCAAAGGCTGCGGAGAGGTATTGTTATGCAAGCTCATATATGTGTAGTGCAGTGTTTACAGCTGAAGGCCTAATGGCCGTCAAGACACAGGAGACGATTTATGATCACATCCAATGCCCTCTGAGCCCTGATCTTTTGTCCTCTTGTTTTTGGAGGCATTACCCCGGGAAGAGGAGGATGCTCCGGAGGAATGAGGTACTTTGTCAAATTTATTTTATTTTTAGATTCCAATTTGGCCACCTGTTTGAATGAAATGTGATTGAACTAGGGGTGGGAAGTAAGTAATTCTAAATACTTGTTTTGCGTCACTCTTATTGTTGTTGTTGACTACTTTTTTTAAAGTATATTTTTAAAAAATTTTACTAGTTACTGAGCACAACACATGCCCCGATCATCCTAATCCAAAGCTGTCTCACCTGTCTCTGCTCCTTTTTATACCTCTTTTTTTTTCTTCTATTAATAATCCAAGTAAAGTAATCTGTAAATGGAAACTGAAATGGGATGGTTTTAAATAAATTCTACTTCTTCCCACTCCTTTTTGGACATGTAAACTTACAGCTATGTGGTTTTCTATGTCTGTCTGTCTGTCTCTTTTTTTTTTTTTTTTTTTGACTGCACTTGCAATGTTACTATTTGTGACATCACTTCTGTTTTATAGTTTTCATGTTTAAAATTAATAAATTAAATCATAAATTCATATCTACAAACATGCAAAACAGCACAAGCTCAGTGAATACAGTCTGTAGGTTAAAACAATAATGCGTTCTTTATACTTTTACTCTACAAATTTGGCAGTATTTGCAGCAGGTAACTGTACTTTTACTTGAGTACAAAATATCAGAACTCTTACTACCTTTGCATTTCAGTCATGTTTGAAATTAGATTAATTTAAAACACATTGAATAAATGTAAGATTTCATTCAGGTCTTCTACTTTATTGATCATAATAACATGTAACTTAATTGGTTTTGCTACATTTTCACTGAGGAGGGACTTAAACAGACAGAGTGAGTGTTGCTTAAAGCCCAGCACGTTAGATACAATAAAATAACATGTTTTTTTTTTTGTTTTTGTTTTGTTATTTGATTTGATAGAACAGAAAGGAAGTAAATGGGACAGAAGACCAGTACAGCGACTCAGCTCTGCTTCACTCACCAGAGGTAGGAGGAATATCGTGACGATTCGTTTTTCAAGACATCAGCTGCTCATCTCTGTGTGATTGTTTGTTTCCAGTCTGACGGCCGAAGAGTGAAGTCGACTGGAGATGAAGCAACGCCCCCGCAGGCCTCACAGCAAAGATACAGAGGAGTGAACCCAGAAGACCCATCCGTGTTCTTCTCCAGACCCGTGAAGGTGCGCAAGAACAGAGGATATCCACTCACCAATGGAGCAGGTCAGAAATGGAGAACTATGTAAAATCTGATACAACGTAATAAAGTGTTGATTGAGATTGTCTTGTGTCGTAGCTCGGCACAGTGTGTTTAAAAGAGCGGGGCGGAGGAGGAGAGAGGAGGTGCGAGGAGCAGAGGAAGTGGCAGAGGATGAGAATACAGCCACTGAACTTCCCGTAGACCAGGTCAGAAAATTTTGATGAAAAAGAGATATTGTGTAAAAAAAACAAAAAAAAAACAACAATGTAATGAAATACAGCTAGATATTTGAAAATAAGTTAGATAAGATATACTTTATTAATGCCTCATTGCTGCTGAGGCAAGGATTGTAAAAAGAATCTCCATAATTATAGATTTAAAGGGACAGTCCAGAATTTTGAACATAGGATCTCATTTCAGTGTTGGAGACGTGTGGAGACACTTTTTTAAATATTCCATCCAGTCCTTGTATTTGCAGAGGTCGCTGGTGCTAGGATAGTGCATGTCAATGGCCATAGTTATCCTCCCACTAAAAACAGTCTTACCTACTCCACAAAGCACCCGAAGCAAATCTATTATTACACCAGACTGTCGATGTGAATGTCTGTGTCGATAGAATAATTTTAGGAGGATTTATGTCTGAGCAGCAGCAGCGAGTTGTACTTCCTGATAGAAAGCTTGGCAGTGGCGGATTGATATCAACTAGCACCTCACATGTGGCGATTCATGCGATGCAAGGTTAGTTTTATTTCAAACATTATCGACACAGACAGTCACATTGACAGTCTGGCATAATAATAGTTTTGCTTCGGGTGTTTTGTGGAGTGGGTAAGACTGTTTTTAGTGGCAGGATAACTATGGCCATTGACATGCACTAGCCTAGCACCAGTGACCTTTGCAAAAACAAGGACTGGATGGAATAATTTAAAAAGTGTCTCCACACGTATCCAACACTCTGGCTCACTAGGAAATGAGGTCTTATGTCCAAAATGTCGAACTGTCCCTTTAAAGTCGATAATAGTTTTTGTGACCACCTTAACTAAAGCGTTTAATTTCAGAGAGTGGCAGAAACGGTTGAGGATGAGGAGCTAATTGCCACAGAGCCTTTGGACAGAAATCAGGTATTAATACATTGAATATGCTATGTTTAATAAAGTTAATATAAGACACTTCTAAAATCAATATTTGTTTATAGGGAGTGTCGTCTAGAACAGACAATAACCAGAAGATGTTTGAAGATGCTGAGAACAAAATGAACAACAGCACAGATTCAACAGAACATGAAGACACACAGGTACACATGAACGCTTCTGCTTTGAAATATCAGGTCAAACATCACGATGTAACTTTCACTTCTTTTTAAAGGATCAAAAAGAGACTCTTCCAATGTCAAGACCTTCCTCTCAAGAAAGACTAACAAAATCTCCCAGAGTAGAGGTGTGTCCAACTCCATATTATACAGATAATATGTTGACATTTTTAAATAATCTTTAAATAATCTTTTCAATAGAATGCAAAGGAAGAAGAACAAAAGCAGCAGCCTCAAGACATTGTAACAAATGGAGTCGTCGTTTCATCGTAGTATCCAGCATTGGACAAGGGCACGGGGAGTCTGCTTACTGATACTTTGCAGCTAATGTCATCAACATTATCTGGGGGGTGTGACGCTAACTGAAAGCACTACTCTGTCTGAAGCTGTTACTCAAGTTAGACTTCAATCTGAGCTTTGTTTTAACACAGAAAGATCTGATCTGTTTGGAACCACAACAGGGTTTTCAGTTCAGTCTCATCTTTTTTGTTGAAAATCAAACATTTAAACAGGACCAAGAACACTCACTATTAATAAACTTATTGTAAATTTTAGTATTTTTCTTGAGTTTTCAGACAATCTTAAAACATTTTGTCCGTTTGCTAATGTGTGCATTTTGTCACCATGGAAACTGCTGAACTTTCTGCCAATAGAAATGCATTATAGGACACCCCAAGCCTGACGTCACTGCAAAGTATCAGTTTGTGCGTTTAAATGAATCACACTATTGTATTGTGACTGAGATAAATTATTCAAAACATTGTAATTGACACTCACCATCACACCATCTAACATTTGGCTGTTTTCAGATAACACTCGAGACATCTGTTGTGCCATGTGCGTTCATTTAATTCAACATTTTCATTTCATTTCAAAGTATAAAATATATACAATATCTTATCTTACATGTACAATAATAAACATTTGCAATATTACAAAAATAAATAAAAGCTTTGTTATATTAATTCATCGTTGATCAAGTAGAAAGACCCAGTAGTATGTAAAGACTAATAGCTCGACAACATCTTTGCTGTCAACACCAATTAGCTTGTTCCACCCCAAACACCCCACACCAATTATTAGGCCACATGCTAAAATGTTTTTGTCCTATTTATGTGACTTGTTCAGCTGCTGCCCCACGGACAGAGCAAAGATGAGTTTTACAAGTTAACAGCCTCCATTTTCATTGTGTCATAAATCTACTTAAAGTCCTAACTGAACCTTAAATGAACCCTCTTTGTCAAGAATTCCAGATAGAGGCTCTGAAGCGGAGGAGACACTGTTTGAATTTCAATGGCATCTCAAATCGTTCAGACCCTTTGTCGTGCTTAGTGCAGATAAATGCTGTATTAAACGGTCTGCACGTAGCCAATAGGGAAGATTCACCATAGTTAGTGCGAAACTTAGGTCTTGTTCTGTTTCGATGGGTCCATTGAACTCATGACACACAGAGTAATACCGGCCATGGTTAGGAACATGCCTGCAACAGCATCTGAAGAAAGAACACATCAAATTGTTAGAGTAAAGGATATTTCAGGCACATGTAGCATTTTAGCATTAATATTCAAGTGGTTCGTATGTCGTAGAAGTTTAATAATAGCATTTTGGTCTCTTACATTTTCCTCCAAATTCTTCTCCCAGTGCCTTTCCAGTTATCAAAGTGCAAAGAAATGTCAACGAGTTAGTCACAGGAACGGCGACAGATAATTCTGAATCAGGAGAAAAAGACACACAAACATATTTTAATTTTCAAGGCCAAGGGGCATTCTGCTTGTCGGTTTTCTCAGCTATTTAGTCAAAAAATATATAGGCCACTGTGATAATGCTATTCCATTAGTTCCAAAAGTAAAACAGTATTCATGTTTTCAAAGTAATTTTGTTGGAACATGGGACATATAATTTTGATTTTGGTCATTTATAGAGCAATAGGTTACATAATAAATAATAATAATTGAACATTTCAGCATTTGTGGATCATGTTTGGATATTTCTTTCAAAAGTAAATAACTCTACGTGAGATTTATTCCGCTGCCCTCCATATGAAACATTTAAAAAAGTAGAAACAAACTACGCTGACAAGACACTCACCCGTTGTGGACAATGTGTAATAGTATACCAAAGACCCACTCTGGTTCAGGAGAAACGGCACAATGTACTGTGAAAAGAGAGGGGTGATTTAAATTATGTAGACACTTTTTCAGCACACACTTTAGACTAAGCACCTCTTCCTCCCAATGAAGAAATAATGTGTCACTTAAGCTTACACTGAGGTTGAGCAGGAGAAACTTGAGCTCGGCCAGGAGCTGGGCCACTCTGCTGGACCGGAGCCACGGTCTCTATGCCCTGAGTACCTCTCTTCAGGAGTGGGTTGGTGCAACCCCACAGCACAGACACCAGCACCAGGGACAGCAGCTCCCCTGACACATGGAGGAGAGGGGAGACTTTTGTTGAAAATGTGTAAACAAAACATCACAGAAAATTGGATAATGCTATTTTGGAGAGTTGCACAAAATCATAACTAAACTGAAACGAGATGTGTTTTGGCTTAGGGTGACCAGATTTTTAAAATAAAAAACTGGGACATCTCTGGTTTGGGTTGGTAATAATAAAATTGTGAAATGAGTGCATAATTAAGGAAAATTGCCATGCACTCAGCACTAATGTAAGTCAGTATAGTCAGATTTTCTTTGTGTTTTGGTCATTTTTAAGCAGATTTTCTGCATTTTACAATATATATATGCCAATAGTGTTTATAGTGACGATATATGCCTCTCTTTGCTGTTGATAGGGATCAGATTGGTTAAAAATAGGGACACCTGGGACATTTCTTGTATAAAACTGGGACAAATCACTTTTTTTGGATAAATATGCTGGGACAGGGGACACAGGACTCAAAACTGGGACTGTCCTGGGTAAATAGGGACGTCTGTTCACCCTCATTTGGTTGCAGTTGTTTAATAGATCGTCCTCAAGCAAATAACAAAATATCCTGTATTTTATTTTAGAAATTCTTACCTGTAGTTTAGATTTAGATATTTACAAACATTTTCTGTAATGCATGGGGTTCTTTGATTAGGTTACCTATTCATATTTCACTCTTCTAAAATGTTAATGCAAGTTGTTTGTTGTTTACAATGTGCACTCTGAACAGAATCCTACTTTTTAAACCTACAGGCTAATGCATATCTAAATTAAACTGCAATACTTGCCAGAAAAACAATCGCAATTATATTTTTTTCCGAAATCATGTAGCCCTACTATTTCATTTTATCCATAATTTTAAAGTTGGTGCTGTCAACTTCCTTAGCATAACATTAGCATGCTACCCTGGCTACAAAGCTAAATTCGTATTCTAAACACGTAATTTCAATAATTTAGTAGACACGGTGATATAAAATCGTGCAGGTGTCTAAAAAGAGGTTTAAAAGAATGAATCGACTGAATGAAACTCACCTACAGACACCATGTTGTAAACAAACTGTAGCAGGTCCCTTAAAGTCGCATTCAAGAAAACGCAGTTGTTGCAAAACGAGACGAGCTCAATAAATTACACAAATAGCTTAAGTATTGATTTCTTTTTGTGTCTTTAAAGGTTGTCTTAGTAACTGAAAATACATAACACTGATTACAAGACAGTGTATTTAATTTGGAAGAAGGAATTCGTATACGAAAAGGCTTGTTGTGTTGCTCTTGAATGCAGCTCTTTGAAAAATCTTCTTGTCGGAACCAAGTGTGGCCAGCAGAGGGCGTAATCAGGCCAATTCAAGACTACTTTGAATTATCGATTATAAACAACTAACCAATCCCATGTATTAAACATTTGAAGAAGACATGATTAAGAAATAAGTCTGTTTTATTAATATTATTTGCTCTTTAAACATTAACACAATTACAACAGTGGTAAAGTGCAAAATCCTTTGGCGTCAACTAAAAAGGATTCACAGAGACAGTTTGTGAATATACCTATCTTCATTATGCACTGCACAGTAAAAATACTATCACAAACTTCATTTTACACCATCTAATCTAAATAATTACTTACAACCTTCATGTAAAATATTTATACAATATTGTCAACAAAATAGGTCAAAAGTTAAGGCAACACATCCTCCATCATCCTTTTGAATACAGAAATGTACATTGTTTGTAAATGTAGACCACAGATAGCAGGTTCATATTTGTCATAGGCCTACTTGTAAAACTGCAGACTGACAACACTGCTGTACAGAAGCATGAGCAGTGCACTCACTCACAATGTGTCTTTACTGTCTGTTCAGAAGTGACAAAGGAGAACTCAAAAGGAAGAATTGATGCTCTTTCAAAAGATCCATTCAATCTTTACAATAACAAGATGTTTCTAAGCCTCCACTAAACTACAGTAGCCTATCTTTTGATCTAAAACCTTAGACAGTACATGGTGTTTAAGCACACTGATGGTCATTCACAGTGGATTATCAGTAGATCTGTACATCCTCCTTTGTGTCAGAAAAGAATTGTAGCAGGATTTATTGAATGAGACAGTGGGATATTGTTGCTAGTATTTGGTCATGTACAATTTAGATTTACTGGCTCTGAATCAGAGATAATGGCTGTATTTATATATTTAAAATAAATATAATACGCATATAATGTAAATCAGTCAGGTACAATCATTCACAACCATGGCAACTGTAACCGCTGAACACAGGGTGCTGTGCCCTATTCCTGTTTCATTTATAATTGCACAACTTTTTGACACATGTGGAGTATGAAGGCACTAGATATAACTTCAGGATTTTAGTAGACAAAATATGGCCTCACTGAATCCATACTTCTTGTCAGAACTTCTTTGGGCCTAAGTGCTTGCATTAACATGTTATAGCTGTATATATTTTGGATGTAGTCCTGTAGTCCCGCTATAGGAGAACATTTACTTTATTGTATTTGCAGTCTTTAGCAGTCTTTATTCAGTCAGTGTCTGTGTCTGTGATGACACTATTCACGTGGCTATGTATTCTCCATGGCAGCCAGTTCGTGAAAAGTCACCACAGTAGATGCTGCACTGGAGTGTTCAGTATTCTCGTCCACACTGCTGAGCTCTGTACGGGGCAGTCTGAAGCCATTTTGAGAGGGCGGCCGGGAGCTCCCCTCCAGGCTGCCCGCCTCTCGTCTGGGCAGCGTGAAGCCCCTTTCAGAGGGGGGCCGGGAGCTCCCATTCAGGCTGCCCACCTCTGCTCTGGGCAGGGCGAAGCCATTTTCTGAGGGGGGGTTGGAGGCTGACATGCTGCCTGACACAGAGCTGACCCCCATGGGGGTCAGGGGCATGTTGGTCTGGAGAGTGGACTGGGACGTCTTGGGACGAGGTTTGGATGAATTGCCGAGGACTCTGGAGACATGTGTCCGCCTGCACACAGAGGAGAAGAGTTACAATGGTTCTTTATTTATGTGAGCACACCTAAAGGGATGCCAATGAGGTGTAGCCTATGGTTTTATCTTTGTTGTGACTGGATGTACTGAGCATGATCTAATATTTTGTCAATGAAAGATGTTGTGAAACGTTTAGATTGTGTTGAAGGACATGAAAGCGATATTATCGCGTATGAGGTGTTGAAACTGCAAACAATGACTACAAAAGTAACGCATCCATCCCCACAGTTAAAAATTCCATAGGTCAGATAGGAGATGAAGTTACACTAAAATTTGCCCCCAAAAAATCTCAACTATTTTTTTTATAAGACTATTGACTTAAATTGGCTTCAAGTATTTGGCATATAACAATATATGTAGTTAGTATGGTTCATTTCTAAAGCTGGAAATGCAGTGGAGTGCTGTATTGTAGATTCTGAGGGACCTCTGTGGTTTCTGTTGTAATGAATATTACTGATGCCCTATAGTGAAAAGTGTAATGTGCCAGTAATATTACATATTGTTTAAGTTGGCTTAAAGATATGTTTAGTGAGCTGTGTGGGGCCTACACCAGAGGTAACTACAGTATATTACATGTTATGTGTCATGTTATTTCAAAAGAATAAAATACCACATAGAACAATAGCTTCAGTACAGTAGTGCAGATTTTCCCATGCTAGATCAAAATCCTCATCAAGCATTTTAATTACACAGTATGTCACCCATAACATGATAAAAGACTCTGCTGGTGCTCTCATCTTTCCAAGAATTACCTGCCCATGAGGAATGTGGCCTTACCGGTTGTATGTTTTAAGTATGATCAGTAGAACAGTGAGAATAATTATGATGCCAACGACAATGATTGCAATCATGGCACCTGAACCTGAAAGACACAAAATACATGTTGAAACAGAGCTGAAGAATGATTATTACTGTGGAAGATTTCCACTTTGTCATTTTCTCCAAACACACATTGGATAGAGCTTAGGAACACAGACACTGCAAATACAGTATTGGTGATTTAAAGCCACACCTGTGCAATTCATCTGGATTTGATGGCATGACACAATCCTTTATATTCATGACACTGGGATTATCACACCTTTATAGACTAGAGAAAGGAACTGGAATCTGGACCTGATCAAATCAAGCACATGGAGTTTCTGCACCCACACACAACATATTTGAGCATATTTGTCTTGACTAGTTCTATTTTGCTTTAAAAGGGCCTGTACATGATTTTGTTCATGTATTTGAGCAAAATGTGTTTTGTGTGTGTTTTAGTGTGTAGTGTCGGTACATGCCCTCTGTTGGCAGCAGATGGAAGTGCAGTTTTGCCCCCAGCAAAACAAAGGTCAGAAGCAGCAGAGTAAATTTTAGCACCAGATGCTGACAGACACATGATTTGTAGTGAGAAACACTGAAGTGTTGAAATAGTTTCTGTTCAGAAACTGACAATCTCAGTAAAAATCCAGGCTTAACATGAGTTGATGAGAAAATATGCACAGTGTAACTTTTCAGGTGAAGGGTACTCCACATGGAGAGATTATTGCTGTGATTTTCCACAGTGTGGCATTAAACTGGCCTTTGTCTTGTGTTTTTTTGCTAAAAAAAAAAAAAAAAAACTCAACAAAATGACTCTATAGACTGCTGGACCCGTGTGTATTAAAATAATGTCTCTTGCTCACTTTGAATGAGGATTTGCTCCCTGGACTTGGTGGTTATGTTGGCTGTAGTGTTGGTCACAGGTGAGACAGTTGAAGCTTGCATTTTTAGCAATAACCTGAAAAACAAAACAGATGATTAGACCAGATTAAAGCACACATACTGATTCACTTTGATCTAAAATAGGCTGAGATACTCAGACCACAGTTAAATCTCCCTGGAAAAGTTAACCTGTTCATTTGAATACATTTTGTCTCTGCAGCAGTTGAGCACTAATCAGGTAACAGGGAGTTTTAGCATAAAAAACAAGATAAGTTCAAACACAGAAGATAATAGATAAGAGCAGTTTCAAAGCAAAGCAAAGGTGTGTCTACTGTCAATGCATATTTGAAATTCAACACAGGCTGAAACCTGAACATTAGTAAGTGGAGTTAAACATTTGCATGGAACTACAGACCAGGTGTTAGTAGCATCCTGCTAAATCTGTCACATGCTTTCATGACTAGCAAACTAGCATCTTTTGTTTAACTTCGCACAGCCACCATCAAGTCTGCAGCTCATCTAAAACACAAACACCATGGGTCAGGTACGTGTGCACTGCTACGCCCTATGCTTTCTATAAGTGATGAAATGTATGCACTGTCTGGTGCTAATGTGAAAAATGTCTTCATATTTAGAGCAAATATGCTACCACATTAAAGTTAAGGTTAAGGTACACTTTATTATCCCTGTTGGGAAATTTGTCCTCTGCATTTGACTCGTCCTTCAGTACCACCAGAGCAACCTGTCAGGAGCACAGACCCATCTCCATGATTTTGAGCTGGCGCAGTCTGGATTTAAACTGTTGTGCATGTTTTGGATTGATGGGGTAAACCAGAGTGTCCGGAGGAAACCCAGACAGAAACATGACAACTCCACATGGTAGTTGAACCCACACTCTTCTTGCTGTGAGGCATGAGTGCCACTCAGCCTCCGCGTATCTGGTACTATAATAAAATATTATGTTTTAGCCCAGAGGCTGGGGTTGAACTACAAGTATTGCACAAGATTATGATATTGTATCTTTAGGCACCAGATAGTCTATGGGTAATTAAAGAAGTAAAAAAAAGAATGATTGTGATATATATTGAGCCTATTAATTGTGGCCTATGCACAATAGACTATTAACTCTTAAATCTTTTAGGCTTGGCTTCTACATGCCGACTCATGAAACATCATTTAGGCATCTAACACCGTCACAGTGGCCGGCAAACAGATTATCAAGACATTAGACATGCACATAGAGCACATGGAGTTGTTATTTTTTGCTTTGCCTGAAATGTTCCACAGTATAGCATTAAGGCAATCTATCTCCATGGCGACATGCAAGTAGTGCCACCAAGTTCAGCCATAGCTAAAGCACTGTGGACAGACTGTGTAGGTTAAAAAATCACTTATAGAGACAACCTCATCAGAAATGTTACATAGTGCAGCGTTAAATACAAACACAAAACCTGTTACATCACAATAATACTCTTACATGCCTTTCTCTATATTCTATCATTTAAACTGCCATCTTGATCTGTTTTTGCTTCATCAGCGTGCCGCAGGAGGACCAAAGGAGGATCCCCAGTGTGGAGGAAACAAATGAAACAAAGGTGCAGGTCTGGGCTGTCCCGTAACTCGAGCCCCTGTGAGAAAGCTCTGCCAACACAGTCTTCTTGGTATGCCATTTAGCCCTTTTACTACCTCACCTATTCTGTGAAACTTTCAGCTGTTCAGAACTTTATTATGGGTTACCTTAATCTGCAGTATTAAAAAGGTCGTGAGTCATGAGGTGTGACCGCTGTGCATAATAGTTGTGCTTCAAGTCCTAATCACATCTTCACGAATGAGTCTGGACGGAAATGTATACATCAGATTGACAAATTGAATGACAATTTACAGTGGAAAATTGAAGTAGTGCGTTTTCAGTTTAGATATTTCAGTCAACATGATAATCGATACTTTGCAGTGACATCACGCTGGGGGTGTTTTACATGACAGAGTAGTGCGTTCTGTTAGCTTCACACCTCCAGACAAAGTTGATGACATCAGCTAAGCATCAATAGGTTACTTATATACCTAAAGCTGTTAATGATAAACATTACATGCCCTAAGGATACGCCTAACAGCACGGCAACACTGCAATTTTACTGTTTTATATCCCTGTGCTTTCAAAGACATCCATATTTAGATAAAGTTACAAATTACTACTGAAATACTCCACAATATGGCATTAAATTAATTATCTCCAAGAGGCCACCAGTCCAAATTACAGGAGTTCTCTCAGCCATAAAAACTTGTGATTGAAAAAATGCAAAATAGGGAAATTTCAAGGGCCTATATTATACTTTTTTCTGATTTATGTTATAATGTTGTTTCTTCATGACAAACATACTTGAAACTGAGCACCTGATCGTTACCTGCGAGCGCTCCAACTACATCGATTTCTTTGCACATCTGGAGCTGTATTTCGTTTCATTCACACATGTTTAACACAGAAATCCTGGATATTTAGGTTCTTCTCCCAGACACTCTGCTCCACCTTGTGATGTCATGCAGTAATGCAGAAGGTGCTCCACTCTGTTTTTTAAACTTCATACAATTTCAGTAGAATAACTTGGATGATTTCAGCCCTGGAAATGCCAATCTCCAGTCATTAATAAAAAAAAATAAATAAATAAACTACCTCTTCTTGACATCACAAAATGGAAGAAAGCATTTTGAGCTTTGGGGATGTAGACACTGACTGACTAATAATTAGGATTACAAAATTTAGGGGGGATGCTTTTAAAATTATGCTTTGAGATTGTAAAAAAAAGAGCAAAATATGATGAAAGGAAATGATGAAGGCAAAAATAATATTAGTTTAAGTATAGTGGCTAAAAATGTGAGGAAAAAAATAAAAAATGTGGGGGGCATTTTTGTTGTTTTGTATTTGTTGTGGGTGTTGCTTTATGTTTTTGTGTTTTTATATTGATTATTGTATGTTGTTAAATGTTATATTCTGTTGTCTTTAATTTAAAAAAAAAAAAAAAAAAAGGATTACTCAAACATATGAAACACAACTCTGGAAATGTCTTTCATGAGGTAACAACTTTCTAATGTGGCTTAAAACTCACAAGAACCTGCACTTCCCTCTTTTGCCAACAGAGGGCATGTACTGACACATCATTTTAAGAAGTAAAGCATTAAAGGTGCTATACCAGATTTTTCCTGCTTATATAATATTTCTCTATTGGAGCAAGACACATTTTGCTCAAATACATGAACATTTTGTGTAATATAAGACCTTTATTGAACATTCCAGGCAAACCAAAGACATCTCCACAGAGTCAAGCAAGTGGCAGACACCCCACCAGAAAAAGAGCTTCAACAAAGACGGACTTTGAATAAAAGTATTAGATTACCATTATTCCCTCCAGCCTGACGTCTGAGGTGTGAGACAAGAATCCAATACTGGCGTGCATGGTACATCTTATCCTCGTGTATTACACAACCTGCTCACTGTGTTGACAAACTATTAGCCGCAGTGATAAGTGCCGGTGAATATTAGCCTGCTGTTTGCTGAGGTGACAGTCCCTGATAAGTGCTGCTTTAGTTACACCAGAAGAAATGTGTTACACTGAACAATATAGTAACGAACAGGAAGTGGAAAAGACCTGAAAGTGTCGTCTAATCAGGCCCGTAGACAGAAATTTGGGGGCCTAGAGCAAGAAGTCTCACATGGGCCCCCCTCTAATGTAAATTAACAAGAAGAGGATCCAATTCTCAGCCTCCAAAACCCTGGGGACCCGAAACTAATCTACAGCCTGCCTAATATTGATTTATTCTAGTTTGATTGTAATACCATTTTTATTATTAAAGGTGAACTGTGTACATTTTCTGGCGGTTTGTCTCTTTATGGAGGTGTTACTGCTAGTTTAGCTTAAAAATCTAAAATCTATCTTGTATTTGTTCAATTACAGGTGCTTTCTAGAAGAAAAAAAAAAAAGTGATGTGGGCGTGCCTCTCCGTAGATCTAACCAAAACCTTTTTAGCTTTTTTTGAATAGTTTTCTTTCTTAAAAAAATTTAGCTGTTTAATTAATCTTTTTTTTTTTGATGATTGATTAAAAATGGTATTAAAATTGTGTGGGCAAAGTAACTCACAGTAATAATTATGGCAATAGTAATGTACTTATTAAGCATACATTCAAAGTGATCTTTCCAGCACTGATTGGGGGAAGTGTTCGGCAAAAATCTGATTCATCATGCAGCTCCAAGTTCCATTTTTTTATTTGATATCCACACCAGCTTATCTTTCCGCTCTGTGGGTTTTGTCACGTCTGTTGCTGAAGTTAAACTAGTTCCTCAAACCTGTGCTATTAAATCATTTTTGCACAAGCTAATGACGTAGTGTGTTCCAACTAAGAAGCATTTACAAGCACTCTCAGGTAATATTGACATTCTCATCTGATCCATGCACTGTTTGAGATCTCGCCTGGAAATTCTCGTGAATTCTACCATTCACGGATCCCACTGTCCACTTTGGATGAGCTCTGATGTCACTAGGTGTGTCTATGTGTTTTAGTAATCACATGCAATTAAAACCAATCATATTCAATGGTACATAATTGGAGGTTGAATTAGGAGATGGTTGACTAGAGCAGTCTAAGTAAATAGCCATTCACACGTCATGGAATCGATCGTGAGATCCTGAAGTACGACTAGAAAAATATCTTTAATTATCAAGTTACAATGATTCTCCAAGACATGTTATTAGAGTGTTTTGTTGTGGTTTTTTTTAGCACTTGTCAATATATTCATTGTTAATAGTAAGAATAACATGTACTTCGACTGGCTATAATTGGAAATAACAACAACAGAACCTGGGATGTCATTATCTGTTATATCCTGCGGATGCATCGTATCATTATGGCTTTATTGCAAACTGGTTTTAGTTAGTGACCCAAATAGAAGAGCTCATCCCGCTGTCTGGCTTTCTACCATGTTATAAGGTTTTTCGCTCAAACATGCCTCAAGAGGTTTTAGGTGTCACTCACGCATGTTTGAGCATTTTAGTGATCTCTGCCGCTCAGCCCACAAACTCATGTCA